ACATCAACCTTAAAAATAAAATAAAATCAATTAAGAAAATATAAAATTGTGATAAAATCAATATAGGACTTCTATAGGTGAATTGAACCCATTTCTATTAGTGACAGCTAGAAAGTTGTATTTGGCATCAGATGTAATAGATTCCAGCCCACCTGCATCAGACGCAGACCATCCAGAACATCAGATCACCCAGAACAGTATATGTCAAAATGAAATTTTCTGGCCTTTAAAATGTAACAAGATTTTTCTATCTTTGCCATAACATAACCATATGTCTAAGTCCTCTCAGAAACATACATCTTAACACCTCAGGTGTCCAAATTGATTAGTCTCCTCAGAAAGTTTTTCTTGTTGCCTTCCCTGCAAGGAGTCTGTTCTTGGGGGGCATTTCCTATGCCTTTCAATCTATTGAGTTGAAGTCCCTATTAGTTGACAATTCCTGAAGAAAGGTATTGGTGACCTATCCCATACCGCTTCCAGGCAACAGGACTTCTGACATCAATCCGCCTCCCCTTCCATTGCTGTTACTCCTGCTTACCAATTTCTTCAACACAAGGCTTAATCCTAGCAAGGGTTTTGATATGTATGTCATGCTCTTAGCCAGGCCTTTTCTGTTGTTGTGTCTATCCTTAATGTGTAAGACCATGGAGGAGACATGGGTATTCTACCAACTAACTGATAATTTCTGCCTTACGACCTCATCACATGGGCAAAATTGCTCATTCTATGACAGTTTCACCTCAGTACAGGAAGGAAACCCGCTGGATCCCATCAGATGACGTAGTTCTACTTCTAGCAGGGCTTTGTTCCTGAACTGAGGTGAAATTGTCTTAAGAGGGAGCAGTGAGAACATGGGAGGCTTCCTGTGTTCTTATTAAGAAGAATGGGGGGAAGCCAGGCGGCAATGCTTCCTCCTGTGGGATGAGGTAAGGGCCGATGTGAGGCACAGGGCAACGGGTTCCCCATGCCTGAATCATCACAATCCATGGTGAATCCCCTAACTATCTCCCACAATGTTGACTTCAATGTTACGAAGTCCTTAGAAAGAAAAACAGTAAACAGCCACCAATAATTTCATTAAACTTTTTTTTGAAACCTATATTTTAAGTTCTTGAGCTTTTTTCTGGGTTAATAACACTCACATTTGTGAAGCTTGTTTCCAAAAGGTACCAAAACCAATCTGAACAAATTTTACAGGAATTGAAAAAATGTGCTGAAGATATGCATCCTTTTGCTATTAAATGCAATTTCCCAAGCCCTGTACTAAAGTGATTTTCTACATTTTGATAGTTTTGATCTATACGTACTTGTCTACTCCTAGCCAACAGTGTGTCCCCACCTAGAACACATTTTTCAATTTTTTTGGATCTGGTACCTTTTGGAAACAAACTCCACATTGATGTGGATTTCAGTGTTTGATTATCCCAAAGAGTACACTGGCGAAAGTTCATTCTGTAGAAGGTATGTTCTGAGTCCCTGGTGGCACAATGGGTTAAACCCTTGTTCCAGTAGCACTCCTGACCGACAAAAGTCAGTGGTTCGAATCTGGGAGAGCAGGTTGAACTCTCTCTGTCAGCTCCAGCTCTCCATGTGGGAACATGAGAGAAGCCTCCATCAAGGATGGTAAAACAACAAACATCTGGGCATCCCCTGGGCAACATACTTGCAGACCACCAATTCTCTCACACCAGAAGCGACTTGCAGTTTCTCAAATCACTCTTGACATGAGAAAAAAAGATCCAAGACCATGAATACCTGAAATCATAAATTATAGCAACCCCTTGGGCTAGAAGCATACCATAGCACTGCACTGGAAATGCACAAACAATTCTGTGAGAGGGGGGTGTTTTTTTTAACATGGGTATGTGAAACCATGGCTATTGAATCCATGGATAAGGGGGTCATACTGTAACTATATGATTTCAAAGGATTAAAAGGTGATGGGAAGCACAAGTAGGAATGTTTAGCATTGTATAACAGTGCCATGTAACAAAGGATTCTCACAATCTCATGTGAATCAGAAAGGCTATGATGGGCATGCTGAGGTAGCCTGGAAACTGCAAAATAGCACTACTTTTCTACAACCTTAATTTTTGTCAATGACATCTGCCTCATGTTGTAAACCCTCCCCTGGAGCACAAAACATGTTCAAACTGAATCTGACACCTCACCTGTGTCGAGCTTGATAGTACCATTTGCTTCCCCTTGTTGCATTTGATGGTCCTCCTTAAAAATAAAACAAAATGAGATTTCCAGGAACGAAGGTGGCATAGTAATTTTATTCATTTCGTATGAAAAAATATAAGTGATAGTAGCAGTTCTACAAAGGATGAGAAACTGAGTGAGTTCAAAGTGATTTATTTGATTTCCCACATAATCACAGTTATAGTTTTACAACGATAAGGTCTGTTACTACTTACAAACAATGCATATTAAAATGAAAGCACTCCTTCCTTCCCAACAGTTACAAAATGGGGCTTGAGCCTCCCATAACAGAAGCTTCTCATGAGCATGATGTTTCTTGAAGTCTTTTAACAGTCTGCATTCAAGACCTAATTCTAACAGTTTAATACAACTCAAAGCTGGGATTAAAGTTCCTAGCAGGAGACAGGTACTGTATGCAACCTGAAAGTGACTGCAGACTTATATTAATACTAATTTACACACTATATACAATTTAGAGAATTCAGTTTTTCCCCTACTTGGTCCTGTTTCCACTACCTCTTTCCCTCCCTCAAATTTGTATCTGATTGTTGGTCACTTTTTCCCTTTTAGCTATATACACAATTACTCTTTTTGCAGGCAAGGTGTGATGATATTTAACAACAGAAACAGCAAAATGCATGCTTAATTGCAGGAAACGCACGGCTTTATATGGAACAGCAAGTCAACATGTAGAGAGTCATTGTTTAAATAGCTGCTGACTGTTTTTCAGCTCATTTTAAAATCAAGAAACAAGAGGCTTCTGCTGCATGCAGTGCTTGATGGGAAAATCTTTCTACAATGTTATGCTTGAAGACTTCTTTTTAGCAATACAAGACATGTACATTATATTAGGATTACTTTTTTTTACATTGTTGTACATTTCATTTTTAACTTAAAAAGGATTAAAACAAATACATATTTGACTGTTGTCCCAGAAAAGATATTTTGGCAAGCTGATTTAAACTTTTTTTTTTCAGATTGTTGCTTTTATTGAGCCAAATTGTTGACGGGAAGAAAAACACATGGCTCAATAGCATTCTGGACTGATTTAAATTAATAAGAAAAAGGTAACAAAAGCTTTCTACTAACTACCCTTTCCCTTTCTAAATGCAATCATAAACTCCATTTCGAGGCTAATTGTAATCACTGTCCTTTTTCCCAAATGAGATGAAACAGACTTTGAACTTTTGCGCTAAGAGGTATCCTGGCACCGTAAATTACTCCAAGAAAAAGTAATGACATTCTTCATCACACTAGAGAAGAAATCAACTTAAAATCCTGTTTCTGCCTCATGCAGGATTTTGGGGTTTGTAGTTTAGTGAGGCTGTTAAAGGCTCCTCCCTGAACTACAGACACCAGAATTCTGCAGAAGGCAGAAACCGGATTTTAAGTGGATTTTTCCTCTAGCGTGATGTGGCCATTTTTAGAACAGCATCAATCCCGAAGTCCATAGAAACAAGAGGGGTAAAACCCCACTACTCCACTGAAGCCTCACATGGCCCCCAAATAATCACTAAAGTCAGCTTGCTGAAAATATGGAGAACTTCAGTATGGAGAGAAGGAAATTTAACTGTGTGCCACTGTCATATTGGTTTTGGGTTCAAAAATTGCATACACATTAGGTGGACATATTTATAGAAAGGAAAACAGGAGAGAGAACTTTCTCAGATCATGTAATTTGCCATGCACTTTAAGATTTGATCCCAGTGCATTGTCTGTATTTATATCTTCTATATACAGACAATGGAGCACCAACTGTGTTATCCTAAATGGATAAGAAGCTACAAACGTAAACTCTTTCATGGGATTACCTGGGGGAATGCATTAATTGGACTAAAAGGATGGGCAACTCATTTCAAAAACATTTTAGATGTGACATCAATTTTTTGAAAACATAACAATGAATGCCTGTGCTTTGAGCTTGGTTCATGCAAAATGTACAGTGACAAGGTAAAAGAAAGGCCCACCACCAGTTGTATCTTTTTTGGGACAACTTATAAATTACAGTTAGACTCTACTATTGGTACAAAGGTCTGAAGAAAAGCCTACATATTTAAATATGTTATCACTTTACTTCAACTAATATCAACAGTAACACTGATATATTTTGCAAATATACAATATGTAGAGTGTAGCTTCAACACTATTAACATTAGATGACATGCAGACAGTTCTATTATCCCTTATAAGAACAAAGCAATTTAAACTGCAAGGAACAGAGCCTCGAGGGGCTGAAACAAGCCCTCTTGAGTCCTCTATACAATTTAGGACAGCCTGGTTGACCATTTAATTTACTTTTATTACTTCCATTTCATATGAAGTTAATTTATAGAAAGAAAAATAAAACACATAGGAAACAACAGACAGGTTTAAACAGACTAAACTCAATGTGGGCTGAGTTTGTGCCAACTGAGAGTAAACACAAGTACTCATGTTTCAATTTTGCTGGTTGTCATGGTATAATAATCCATAGCAGGGAAAGAGAGAAAGAAAAACCAAACTGGAGACGTTAATAATAACCAACCATCTTCACACATTACTTCTACATTCAGAAGCAACAGTCTTTTGTTTGTTTGTTTTGTTTTACCCATTTTTCACTGGAACTTTTTTTCCTCCTCTTCTTTTAAACCACATTCACAATTCTGCTGGTGCAGTTCTGCGGTTCATTTTGTTTCTGCCAGTTAGATGTACAGTCCTTGTGACTGAGGTGGCTCAAAATGCTGAAACTACAAAGTATGCTCCATGTATTTTTTTAAAAAAATAGGATTTAGGGATACAAAAAGAATCTCATATGGTTTTGCAAATGACTCATTACAACACATAAGCAACAACAGCACAGTGGGATTTAACGAGATGTCTTGCGACTAACTGGACTATGACAGTTTGAGCATAGACTCAGCCTGCTGAGTGCGGGGTAAAACTAACAGATGTGATGACAAAAATGGCGAGAAAATCCTGTTGCCAGCACATGGCTACATGGAATTACTGTTATAAAAAAGTCTACACTCAATATTAAAATAAGCCTTCAAGTTTCAGATTGCTTTCGTATGGAAAAAAGTCTGAACTGCAGTCTATTTTAATTGAGATTACCTAAGGAATTTATGGCAAAGAGGCAATGTGGCTGAAAGGGATGGATGCTTCCTATTTTAAGGTCTGAGATGAATGTTTATGCAAGTATCTTCCATTTTAATCTCCAAGTGTGTTTATTAAAACATATATGAATAGAAAAGAAATGTTGATTGTGTAAGTTCACAGTTATCACAGCCTTTAAAGTGTCTAAGAATCTGAGTAACCAAAAAGTAGAGGCAACCTATAATAAAAGTTGCCTCTTGTTGCTACTGTATAGTTACTACATTTTAACGAGTTTGCTTACCTGAAAGAGCAGAGCAGTTGTAATACTGATTAGGTATATTATCAAGTTAATAAAATAAGAATTTGTACAAAGCATTAATTAACAACTTCAGCTAAATGCTATGTTACTTGGCACATTTTGCAATGATTGCTTAGATTTTTCCCTCACTCCAGAGAACTTCTAATGAGAATACTGAAATGCCTGGGATTTGTTCTAGTTTTTGGTCTACACTTTCTCACGCTGTTCATCTATTATACTGCCCTTCTATCAGTAAGTGGAATTCCTGGTGACGTATATATTGCTAGCTTTGTGGACTGCAAAAGTTTTTTTCTAAGCATAAATGTTAACTATACAGTGTATATATATATATTTATATTTATATATTTATATATTTATATTATATAAAGTTTACTTACGTACTTTCATCAACCATATGAGGTCTACTTTTTTTGCCCATTGACAATTAAGGAGCAAGAATGCAACTCTTGGTTCTATTTCCTACTTTTTTCTTTTTATTCTGAGCAGATTATGTTTTCATTAGGCATTAAAAACTGTCATAGGGATGTAAAAAGGTAGCTTAACGTTTTCAGCAAGCAGCATATTTTCAAGGCTACTGGGGCGGAAAAAAAGAGGGAGAAGGTCACCACTGAGTTCAACAATAGGATCTGGTTAATATGAATAGTTCTATTGAATCCTTAAGGCAAAGGAGTCAAATAAGTTGTTTCTGGCTTGGATTAAAAATATATATATCTCCAGTTTTATAGGCTGCTTTCTGTTTCCAGTAAGTGCCTTTACACCTATGTCTAGAGCTACAATTACGAGCAGGGTATTTTGGTTTTAGACTATTGTGCTGATGCCGCTATGCTTGGACTTAGTACTGGCTGAAGTAGATGGGGGCAAGGGTGGTCCGTGGTGGTGTGAAATGTGGGAGGAGTGTGCGGGGTGAGGAGAGGGCAATGAAGGATGGGGACCATGGGAATGCTGTGAGTGGGAGTGGGGCATGTAGGAATGGGGGGCATGAGCTATATGCTGCGAGTGGGGCATGTGGTGATACTGATGGGGATGCTGGATATGCTGGGGTGGGTGGTAATGGTGGTGGTGATGATACGGGGGTGGGTTCTGCAAGTGGCAGTACTGGGAATGGTGGGTGTGCACTTGTGCCTGGGTCTGCCCCTCAGCCGGCCCCGTGTGATGCATGGCAGAAGAATGCTGAGAGTGTTGCTGATGTGACATGATGGGAGGTTGCTGAGATTGTTGTGATGGGCCAGGTGCTAGGTGGCCTTGGGAAGGCTTTCCTCTTTTACTACCAAATAAGGACCCTAGTAGTGAGGAAGAATTAGGCATAGTCTGGTGAGGGCGAGATGGACACTCTCGGGTTGATGTAGCTCTTCGGCGCATATGAGGACTGCTAATGATGGACCCCTAAAAAGAAATTAATAGAAAATAAAAATTAAAAAAATCTTAAAATATGTGAAAAAGAAAAAGTTCATAGCGACCACCATGTTTCCTTTAGAAGTTCATATGGATAAACTGTTGTATGAACTAGAGAAGAATCTCTCTCTTTCTCTCTGCCAATTTATCTCTTCAAAGTAAAAGTGGGGAGTTGCCAAACAAGACCCAGTTATAGATATTAGTGATATTTTTTAAAAAAGAAAATGAAACTATTAGGCAATAAAAGGTAATCCCTAATCAGTGATATAAAACCTTTGATGTTATTTTAAGCTTTTTAAAAAATAAAAATATATATATTATAGTCTTGTGGTGTGTTTCCCCCCTCTCAAGACTGATGTACAAACAGGTACATTAAATTAAAGTGAAGTCATTGGCATGGTTTTCAGGCTGACTCCCCCCTAAGATTAAAACTTAGCCTCTTCTGTTTGGAATATCAGGAAAGAAATGTTCAGATGGTATTCCTCTTCAATCTCTTTCTCAAGGTTTTGTGCACTTGTATGCATCTCCTGACCTACAGCCCCGTGTTTCCAACTATTTAGTCTTCAACTACTGAGGATACTTTTATTTTCTTTACAGACAACTTAGAGGGACATAAGCAATGGTGAGGCATCATGTACTAGATGTAGACTATAGTCTACCTAATTCAAACACACACACATACGCACGACACATACACACAGGTGCACGCATACACACAAAAATCTGCAGGCTGAATTCAAAGACATGAACAGTATATAAATGGTTTGAAGATGAATGAAATCTCATGAAATCCACATTGAATTCATCCGTCTTATTTGTTTTTTATTCCCATGCCCTACCTATGCAATTCCATGGTGTCATGACTGCATACATTTCACAATTTAACTGTAAAATAAGCAATGTGAATGGCTGAGCATGAAGTCAATAGTTAGGTTAAATATCAAACAGCACCAACAGTGTACTGTGTATCACTGGGCCTTTAAGCAGGGACCAGGCTGAAATGGTGGCAAGAGGCACATCATATTCATTTAACCATGCTTGCAGGAACAGAAGGGGACGAGGTTAGCTGAAATCAAAATAATCGAAATAATAATAATAAAAAATGTGCTTGATCTAAAGCAAGCCAGAAGTAGTGGTAGTAGTAGTGTTGCTGTTGTTTTTAAAATGTTAAAAAATATAAAGTGAGTAGCATTGGCATGCATTTTATCTGAGGCAGGCAGGTTGTATGTTAGAAGAAAAAAGAGCAAAAAATGTATATAAAAGAAAGGTTTGAAATGCACATCACATCCAGCTAGACATCCGTAACTTCCTACTTACTTCCATATTGCTGTCTAGCGATCCTGCACTGCTGCGTCGCCCACGCTTGCCTGCCCAGGACATGCAATACCATAGATTAGAGACTGAGACAAGACCGGGGTGATAAAGAGCCGCCTTCTTGGATTCACTGTAGGATCCGCTCTCTAGGGAGGGCTTGGAGATTAACTCGTTCTGACAGCAAAGGAACCACGATGGGAGCAGAACATGCTTAAAAGTGCAATCCTATGGATGTTGACCCAGAAGGAACTGCCACTGTGTTCAGTGGTCCCTTGCTCTCAAGTAGGCATGCTTTTAGGAATGTTGTGTAAAAATGTCATTCATGTCCCATTGAACTGAAGGGGGAAATTCCCATTCTTTTTAATAATGCTGGATCCAGACTTTGTCATACCTAGAGAAGTTTCAGTGAGGTGTATGGAACTTCAGGTAGTGACAACTAAGTCCCACTTAAGATCTATTCCAAGTATGATTTCATTTGGAACCAAGTAGTACTTCAGAAAAAAATGTTATTACTAATTTGATTGAATCTTTTTAATATGTAGTTTTTATACATATTTAATGTGTATATATAACTGCAATATATATGTTCCAACTAGCAGATTTTGTTCTCTATATATTTTGTACTATGTAACATTTATGAAATGATGGGATTTTAATAATAATGACTTTTTCAAGAATTTAAAACCTCTACAATTATATGTTTCTCAAAAAAAAACTTTTAAAATATTTAGGTACAGGATCTCTGAAAGTGGGGTGGGCATTTCATAATTATTTCCATGTTTTGCTACTGTGAAATTATGATTATATGTGGTACAATAGTGGATTTCATATAATCTTCTTTCATGAAAACATAAACTAAACTTAATTTTATATAGAAAATATAAACGAATATCATAGTTATGGCTAGATTTTGTTTGTTAACTGTGCAGTGCTTAAACATTGACCCATATCCTCAATTGCCTAGTGACTGATTTCTCTGAGTCCAGTTTTTATAAAGATGGGTTGTGAGATCAAATGCCATATCCTATGTGTAATGAAATGAGAACATGGGTAGCTAAATTAGAAGAAAATACTCTGCGTTTGGAAAGCTGAATCCTTAGATATATGTTTTGAGCACTTTTACTGGTGTAACAGGAAATACATTTAATATATAACTTCTGTCCTTAAAAATCAGAAGTGATTTGTCTTTCTAATGACTAAGATGCTTCAGAGTGGTCAAAATAAAATGAATGAAGTTGCTCCAGAATTAGGTTAGCAAGACTTTTGTGATCACATTTACTTTACAATGGAGAGTTATCTAATGTAACATTAGTACAAAAAATACTAGTACTGTTCCAATAGTTGTGCAAGCACCAGTGAAACATCTAGCACTAGCAAAATAGATTATGATGAAATCGTAATGAGTTGTGAAAGTATTTGTGCAGGTGCAGTCAAAGTATTTGATCTGACACATGCACGAGGAAAAACGGTTTCTGCAAATGGTACAAGCTTTGTGCTGGCAAAATGACACCATTGGATATGGCCCACTGTTCATTATGGATACAGTGTTTCTTATTTCCCCGCCTGTTAATTTTCTCCCAATATTCTAACAATACAGTCAGCTCCTTAAACAATGCAGCTCTTTATCAGTATCCTGTTTCTAAAATCCCTTCCCTAATATTCTGTAGAGGAGTTTATATTTAAAGAATGATTATGTTAAAACAGCATTGGTGGGAGCAATGTTTCTTCTGCACTATACTTAAAAGCTGCAATAAATCAAAGACGATATCATTGGATGTGTTTTCTCATGGGAAGATTATACTTCCTGGACCTATTTAAAACTTTTTGGTAAGAAATACATATCATGTGTTCTAGCCACTCCAAGAAGAGGCTGCTAGATCCAGTATCATATAACAGTTTAAGCCTTGGAATAGGAGTTTGGGAGACAAAGATTCAGATCGCTGCTCAGCCATTAAATTCCTCTGGGTGAACTTGGGCAAGTCATACTCTCCAGTCTTAAGACCTCCTCTGAATAAATATTGCCAAGAAAAAGCCACAGAGATTCACCTTAGGGTCACTATAAGTTGAAAACAAAAAGAAAACAATATCTGAAGCTGGCACGATACCGTAAAATAGCTAGACCCTGTGGACAAATGATTCTGAATTGTTCAAATAAATTTAGGAAAATCACTCTGAAATGGGTCAATTGAGATTTGGGTATGGCATAGGTATGTATTGGTATCACAACCTCAGACCTTTTCCCCCCAGAAGGAAGCACCTTGATGTTCAGTGAGGTTTACTCTTAGTAAACCTTAGGTACACAGTATTGTAGACTTGAAATCCTGAGTCAAATACCCAAACTCTGAAAGTTGGCTTGAGTCTTACTAAAAATTCTCATATATGTGTGTGTGTGTGTGTGTATGTGTCAGATCAAGGTTTATAATACCCAAAATAATTGGTTATTATTTTGTGGAAATAACAACAACAACATTTTATTTCTAGACACACACTCTCCTCAGAAGGGGTCAGGGAAGTATGATGAACAATACTCATTGGTTGCCATCTACAAATATTAGTTTTTCAATTATTCTTTTCTGACTCCCTGGGTATGAAAAGTCTGAATTTCAGAATTACTGAGCTGCCAACCCATGTGATTAAACTGGGGCAAGTGCTTTAATTTTAATGAGCAAGATGTTTGTCTCCCAAACAAATGGAGCTGAGCTTATTTTGCAAGTAAATATGTCTATGATCACTTCCTCAAGCCAACTGATAAAATCTCCTTTAAACCAATTCTGATGTCCATGTTTTAGGGGAACAGTTTTCAGTTCCTGATGATGTTAACATGACAACTATTGTTAACATATTAACAGTTTAACACATTTCTTCTGCTAATTGCTGTTAGCACATTAATGTGATAACAAAAAGAAAAACAAAATACTCTAATAGTGTGCAGTCATTGTGATGAAAGCAAAGTTCATCGAACTATACAATACAATGCAAGTGGCTTCAACAACAAATGGTGAGGTCTCTCCAATGTTCACCTTTAAGGTGTATCTACTCCCAGAGAATCTTCTAAGCATTTCACATCAGTGGGAGGCCATATTTAAGAGTACATGCGACACCTTTTGATGTGGCACTGCAATTCTGGATCTATACTGTCTACAAAAGCTGGCCAGGATACACAGTTTACTTGAGGAAAGTAGCAAAGATTTTCATGCTTATTAAGTAGAGGATTTTGGCAGGAATCTTTTTGATTGTGGACACAGATTTAAGCAAAAAAAAAAAAGCCAGTACTCAAAGGCGTCATCCTTCTATTGGAGGAGCTAGCTTCCCTTTGGGAATGGCATACCCCTTCATTTTCTTAGAACCTGTTTCCATGAGTTGGGAATATATTTGAAACATATAGGCTATGAAGTAGGCTATGAAAAAACTCTTGGTATTGCTGCAGGTGGAGTGCTATGTTTAACTCAGAGTTTTGTTCCTTGGAATTCTCATATGTGGAATTGGGTGGGAAATATATGGTCCTCCAGTTAGGGAGCTTGTAAGTTCCCTATTCTTCCTAAAGTATGGTAAAAAGTTGCCTGATTCAAACAGATATTGCTGATTCAATTTTGTTCACAAAGGCACTTGGAAAATGAATTAAATTATATTAAGTACATATATTATGTAGCTATTTATTTGTCATCCTTTGAGAGAGAAAAACATATAACTTGGGCCAACAGCAGAATGATAAATCCCAGAACCCCCTCCTCTGCTCAATTAATTTCATTCGAAAGCTATCTAAATACCAAGTCAGAATCCTCTTGAGGTATTAGTCTAACACTTTATCCAAGCCTGTGTACAGAGATTCCCACTAATTCCATACACAAGCAGTTTCCCAGTGGTACAAAGCCAATGTCGCTTGTGCTTGATCCCTAGGTGCAGGCTCTATCCTTGCCATACCCTTGAGTGTTTACACTAGTGAAGTATACAGTCCACAGATGCATAGTATGATACTGGTTCAAACTTACCCCCCAAAGCAAAGAGAACTACTGCCACCACTACCATCACACCATACTATCACATTTGATTACTGGGTCCCAGTGTGGTGGAATGGGATTCTGCATTAGAACCAGAGAGACATAGAGTCAAATCCCTACTTGGCCATAAAACTACTCGGATTTGATATAATGACCTGCCCTGATATAATTAGTGTGGTGGATTCGAGACAAGAGTTGTGCCAATTCCTCCTTTCCTACTTACAATTCTAATTACCCTGCATTGTTTTATGGGAAACTCTTTAAATAGTTGTTGCTTTCCATGTGATTTACAGCTCTAATTTTCCATGGTTCTAAATAGCACAGGGAATGTTCGTTGTTGCAGTCATGAGAAGGCATAACGCTAAATGTTTTATCAAGTTACCAAGGAATGTCCCTATCTGTAGTTATGTGAAAAAGAGGATATACGTTGAACCTGTTTCTCTTCCTCCTTCTGTATTCCACAGCAGAGCACTACTACAGTTGCTTTTTAAATAGATTCTCATACTATAATATTTATGATCTCTTATGCAAACACTTTCGAATTCATTGCAATGAGGGACAGTTAAAATCCAATATTTTGTAGAAGATGTCATGTCCTTCAATTTCTGGGTTGATTCAATGATCAGAATTCACGCAGAAGTATATGAATTTGATTCATGGGATAATCTTTGTCATATTAATCATTGCCATCCATGATTTCAACAGTATTTGTCATCACATGAAGGATTTTTTCCTCCTTTGGACCAGAAACTACACAGATAAAGCTTTCTCTTGGAGCACTTTTGATATGTTTGAACCCAAGGATCACTTAAAAGCATCTTATATGTCCTGATTCTTCTTGTACTTTGGCAATAACTAAATAAACAGGTCCTCGTGCATTGTAGTCACACATATCTGTCTGTATTTGTGTATTTTTAAAATCTACTGCACTGCACAAGTCCAAACAGAAACTTTCCATAATTGTAAGTAGATAAAATAAGTAAAATTAAGTGTAGCTGGGTTTAACACATCCATTGCTTAAACCCTTCAGACTAATGCCTATATTCAGATACAAAAAATAAGCTTCAGTGATGACTATACTAACAGAAGGCATGTGTTGTGGATATATGAAATGTTTCATGATCATGAACACTCATTTTGTTTATTGCAAAGAATGCTGCAAATGAATCTATCTACATGACAATGTCTGAAACAAGGGAATGCAAGCTCCTAGTAAGATGGAAAGGGTTAATTATAATAAAGGATAAGTATATTAGTAAAACTTCAGTTTCTAAGAATGAATGTTGCAATTCTCAATGAAAAACCAAAACCAAAAAGTGAAACCATTCTTACACGGAACTAAATAACGATGACTGAGACCTCATCCAAAGACTAGTCAAGTACGAAGGTTTTTTAAATATATATATATAATCCTACAATTAGTTCAGTGAATCTTTACATAGGTGTTCTATGCAAAAGATAACTGAGCGAGCCCCAAAACCTTTTATACGAGAGCAGAGCAGATAGGCAAAGACATATTGCTAAACTGAAGATTAATTCATTTAGTAAAAACAAAATTGCTTATAGTTCTATTTGCATATATACAGCCTACTGCTTTCTGTATATCTTAAATGTTTAAACTAGCATTATTAAATCAACTGTATTATATTTTAATAAAATAGCTATACTGCATTTTATACACTAGCCAAAATGCTAAATATGGTGAAAGGTAGACGAAATTATTTATTTGCTATTATTATATTATACCTCAGTGTGGGATGCATGGTGCTAACAGCACAGCGGTACTACTAACAGTAGCAGAAACTAATTGCATATATCCAATATTCTGTACATAGGGCTGAAATGTCCTGCTTAACATTCAGAATACACCAGGGCATTGATTTTCAATCATATCGACAGAGAGATTTCTCTAAATTCTTCACACATAGATGAAATGTAGTGCGTGAACATTAAAATGCATATATTCCAAAACTAGATACATAGACTCTATTCCCCCTGATGAGAAATGTAAAAATTCTCCTTGTCATCCAGATCACCTCAAATTATAGGCCCCAAAGCAGTGGTGAAACTACTATTTTGCCAAAATGGTTTATTTCCCATTATGTTGGCAATAGTAGTGTAGTTATACATAAGCCACGGTTTCAGCAAGATCTATTCTATATCGTGAGCAATGCGATAAAGTACCATCAGTCACACAGCAATGTCTGGTTTATGTTTCTATAGATAGAATTTAGCAGGCTTCACTCAATTTCATTCATCAGTATACTACACAGATACACATAAGCACAAAATGCACAAGAAGCAGCCAATACACAATGATTTTGGTGGGTATTTTTCCTAATGACATTAATATAGGGGGGAAATAACAAGAAAAGGAAGCAAAGCTAAGATTACTCCTAGCATCATACTTAGCATTACTTAACTGTTACTCTACTACAAACTTACAATTTTCCTCTGTCTTCTTTCTCCTTTAAAAGTATATATAGAAAGCTACAACAGTTCAATATTTACAAATTGATTTTTTAAATATAGCAGATGGGAAAAAAAGAAAAAAAAACATATACTACTAACAATAACAAATTCATATTTTTACATCCCCAGGATACATTTTAGACTATCATGTACACATATACATTTTAAAGACACACATATATGAGACTTCATGGTATATCGTCACCTGACAGAGAAAAACATGGGAAGTTTACCTGCTTCCGAGAGGTCTCTGAGAGAGCTGCTAAGGGCACTCCGTTTAAGCCCCTCTCCAGTGGCATAACTGTCGTCAAGGCAGGCTCTGTTCAGAGCTCCACCGCCAGACTCCTTCTTGAGGCTAGAGCACTGAGACATGCTTGGCCGCACCACACCTTTCTGTTTTTCTAGTTCGGCTGATGGAAGGGAAGGAAAAGGCCAAAAACCAGTTACACAATGTGGTCCTACTGCATGTATGGTTTAGGATTTCTCACTGCACTCTATTGGCTTGCTCAAATTGTAACTGGAGTGTGTATGCAATAACTTTGGATGGTACATCTTGAGAGGGCAGATATTCCAATGCTGATCCGGTGTGGGCTACTCTGGATCAGCATTGGGGGTAACTACACTGTCAGCCCTCGAGCATGACAGTTGCACCAAAAGTTGCAAGCTGGCCTGGTGGCTACCTGAACAAGCAACAGCAAAACTTGCCCCCCTCTAACTAACCTTAGTGGTGCCAGGTGGGCACCAAAACAGAGAGAAACTCTCCTTGGTGAATGTAATAACACTATCCAGTATGCTGGAGAAATGGAGGAGGGAGGGGTTTTCCGTGGTATGTTGGGTAGTGTCATTCCAGGTGCCAAGGAGAGTCCTTCTCCATTTTGGTGTCCACCTGGCACTATTAAAGTAAGTTATAGGGGGGCAAGGCAGGGCGATCCCCTTTCCTGGGCACCCTGAACCTGGGGAAGATGGGATGTTCCTGATTAGATGGCCCAAAAGCACCCTTGGCCCATGTTACTGCCGGATCAGTTCTGTGCATAGTATAATGATCATGGAGCTGATTCAGTTCCTCGCTGCATTAAAAAGTTTGTTCATCAACAGCTATATTGAGAGCAAATCGAGGGCTTTTTGAAATAAGCATCTGGACAGATAAAAACGCTCTGTTAACAAAAAGGTGTTGCAACCTAGTGACTGTGGCACACAGGAAATGCTTGAGTGTAGAGGATGCTTTCTGTGAATAGATCCATCCTTATTCATTTCAATGGGGAATTGTCCAGGTATTTTTTTTTTTACAAAAGTGAACAAGAAATGTCCACAAACCACGACTTTCAATATGAGCTGGCATCCAGAAGCCAACAAATATTTGGTTACTACTGATTTTGCTACTGTTTCCTTTGTGTTAATAATAATTTTATGTGGCCTCTATTCTGACTTATGCCAACCTATCAAAGGATTTTTTTGTTGGCAAGATTTATTCAGAAGTTCGCCACTGCCTCCTTTGAATATATTTCGACAGCACCTGGTATTCCTTGGTGATCTCCCTTCCAAGTACTAACCAGAATTGAACCTGCATAGATTCTGAGATCAGGCTGGATCTGGTATGTTCTGGATAATTAGTGATTTTATTTTTTTGTAGGCGAGAAGATAATAAAAAACCTATTAAAACAGGAGAGTATTATCTGAAAGTTGTACCAACTAAAATATCAATGCTGCCTCTTTCCTGCTATGGTTTCCCTACAAGCCTATGGAGGCCTGGAAAGTTGCCACATATATTCATATCACATGAGTTGATTAGTGTAGACATTTTCCAAATTAGATGGAACCATATTAAATGACAGGGAAGTAGCCAGTTGCAAAATTAAAAGTGGGTTCAGAGTGGTTTGAGAGTTGGGCACTGGCAGCCCACAGTTCAATTCCACACTTCGCCATTAAAAAACCCATAGGTGACTTTGGGCATGTTAGTCTTTCCCAGCCTCAGAGAAAGGTAAAGGCAAACCTCTTGATGAACACATCTTGGCAAAAAAACAAACAAACAAAAAACAAAAAAACAAACCCTGATGGGTCTACCTTAGGGTTATCATAAGTCCAAAATTACTTGAAGGCACACAATAACACTTTAGAAATACAGTTTTTTGAAATGTTGTAGACAATACAAATAATTCTTCTTGGGCTAATTTTAATGTGAAAAAATAATATTTTAAAATATATTTACCCATAATAATGGATTTTAAGCATTCTACTATTGTTTACCTTTGTACTTACATTCTATTCTGTGCTTTTCCATTTCTTGGACTTCTGCAATAGACTCCCTCAGATCATCTGTAAATTTTTTTCTATCCTGGGGATTTGGTGCATTGAAATTTATAAGAACTTTTGTATCTGCTCCTGGAACAGCTGATGTGAGTCGTATGCCATTTGGATAATCTAGGAGTCATAAAAGAGAAACATTTATATTTTATTTCATGATATATTTATCTCAAACTGTGAAAGAGATGCATCTCAACAAAGGTTTCCATTTCCATATCAACGTTTCCTCACTTTGCCTCAAATGAATATAAGATCTTATGGAACACTGAATCAGATTCTCTCAAAACTATAATTAAAATTTAATAAAGATAAACCCTCCTCTCTACCCATAGCTGAAACGCTGTAAAGAAACAATGTGTGTGTGCATGCACACATGTGCAAATTACAGATGAATCCAATGCGCCCAGGGACAATAATATATAATCATAATACAGAGGAGGCTTCTAAGGAATAAAAGGAGCACTAAGTATCAGTCATCCAAAAGAGTTGTGGGTAAAAATAAGTATTACTGGGTAAAAATAAGTATTACAGCCAAATTCCACTAGATACAATTCTACCAGTGGCAATGAGCCCTCCTCCTACACCTTTAGTTCCGGCGTGTCCTCAATATCTGCTACAGAGGGCTGCAAACCAGAAGGCATTAATTTTTAAAGCTAATTTAAAATGTTTACTTGTTACCTTTTATAAATTTCAAGTATTTTGAGCTGATACGTACCCAATTATATCACAATATAATTACAATATAATTAAAATAATAAAACCTAGATAAAATTAACAAAATCCTAGAATTCACAAAACAGAAATGCCTTTCCCAGGTCAATGTGTCTCAAAAGGATTAGATGGCCATGAAAAATGAAACAGAGAGCTCCAATTTGTGGACTTGCTTTACCAAGTTGACTTGATGGCAAATGATAACAAATTACTAAGATACATCTTATTCACCATCTGGTCTTTTCTCCTTTTGGGATAGGGAATATTCATCTGCACAACTGAAAGACACAGATGCATGGGCTTGTTCCTGGGGTTATTTGGGGCACTGATTCCAGGCCCGAGGTGGTGCAATGGATTGAGCTGGCAGGACTGCTGATCAAGAGGTCAGCGGTTCGAATCTGGGGAGAGTGGGTTGAGCTGCTTCTGTCAGCTCCAGCCCCCCATATGGGGACATGAGAGAAGCCTCCCACAAGGATGGTAAAACATCAAACATCTCTGCATTCCCTGGACAACGTCCTTACAGATGGACAATTCTCTCACACCAGAAGCGATTTGCAGTTTCTCAAGTCGCTCCTGACACATACAAAAAATGGCAGGGTCATAGTATGAGGGTAGAATCTACTGCAATTTAAACAGAGAGGCTGATAAACTCAAGAATAATCAAATAATATGGCAATTCAGGTGGGCCTGCCTGAACACAGTGCCATTATGTTTGGACTAGTTTTTCTTCCCAGCAACACTCCTTCGCACCATATAGCAGGAGTGTCAAACTCATTTTCACCAAGGACCACATCAGCCTTATGGTTGACTTCAAAAGCCGTTTTTGTCTTCGAAAGACTGTATCAATATAACTATGTTACCCTGGCATTGAAAGACTTGCGGGTCACATAAAATGACGTGTTGGGTCAGAGTTGGCCTGCAAGCATTGCATTTGAAACCTGTGCTATATAGGATGCTACTTGAGAAGGATACCAATATTCAAACAGCAAGAAGGCTTTAGACATTAATCCCTTAAAATAAGTCACTGAATGCAGAATGTTTGATCTTACTGTGGTCATTTATATCTGTATTTTTAAACCAACCAGTTAAGTTAACTGCAATCTATACTGATCATTTCAATTTCTCAAGAAATATCTTCCTGTAAGTTTAACAAACCTAATACTCCTGCCACTATTCCTATATCTTCAGCAGACTGTGGGGGAAAGTAACACAATTTGTCATCTGTTCTAGGAAGTCTGTAAGTATTGAAAGTCTCCTGAGACTAATTGTCTATCAGCAAGACAAAAAGCCATAAAAGAATCAATGCATATAGTATATAAACATATGAAATCTACAGATGAGTTTCTGAGTGTTTATTTAGTTCAATTCTCAGGAAGGGACAAGAAAAAGAAATCCAAAAGACTTTTAAAGGGCTTGGATTCAGGAGGGAAAGGCAGTTAGTGAACACATTTTCATTGTTACTCAGTCTCCAGTGAAAAGAAACTGTCAACTTTCAAGTTTTTAATATGGCTCGCTCTTTTAAAGAAGTGAAACTATCTATTTTGCAATTTCCCCATGGCCCACGAATGCACTGGAGATAAATACTTTATTTCCTTTCCTGAAATTAACTGATGCCCAAAATATGTTTTATCTTGCATTCTCCATTGCCAATCTTTTCCATCACCTTGCCAACTTCTTAAACGAATGCCTTTGCTCTAATTGACACAATCCTCAGAAGGTATGTGATAAATTCCATTGCTTGGAAAAATGTTGAATGTGACAGCTGCAACATGCAGATATGCTGGGAAGGGATGGTTGTGCCTCGTTGCTTTCCTAATAATGGCTCTGCATTACTTTTAAGAAAACTGCTGAGAAGGCAGGAAATCAGGAAGAAAGACGCAACAGAGGTTGTGTTGAACTAAACTCGCCCCCCCCCTCGCCCCCAATCACCTGCTTGTGTCACTACGCATAATACTTTCATATTGTTCATTTTGCTGAGATGTCGTTTTCAACCACATTTTACACATATTTTTAGAATGTTCTTTTCAACTTTGTGGTCACTTATCTTACAAATTCTAATTTCAAATATTCATTTTTAAAGCAAGAGCAGTCAAGCAGAGTCTTGATCCTTCATGCATCAGAGGTAAAGATATGCCATTCATCACATTTTACATTGGTACCAATCACAGTTTGATCATGAGCTAGATCACAGCTTTGAGGCCAAATTGAAGTGTTGTTAAGGGGGGGGAAACAGCAGCAGCAGCAGCCAAATAATAGAGTAGAATCAAGCATTCATCTCCTGCTTCCTGAAGTAAGGCTAAAGAAATGATCTGTGCTCATTTATTCCTGACTTCTATGAAAAGCTAAAAATAAACTTACACTGGTTCTCAAAGAGAAGGACCTGCATTCCATAGAGGGAAAATGACTGTCGAAAACTATATGTGACCGAGTTCTTCTTCTTTTGGAAGATCTTGGTGACCTAAAAATATCAGCAGGTTAAAAAAAATTGAAGTATTAACTATAACTAGGATTTATTATTTGCTTTAACTGGGATTTCAGCTTTATAACCATGCATTTTTCATATAAAAAACATTTTCAACATCACACCAAAAACCACCTTAATAATGTATTCTGTCTAAAATACCATAAATGCATAGTAAGAAATAGACATAAATAATATGTCTATATATATAAAATGCTCTGTGTGTAATGAGTACCTTAAAAACAAAAGAACCAATGAACGAAATCACACCAAATTTGGCAACAAAACATCTCACAACACAAGGAGTGACCATCACTCAAAAAATTATGATTTTGTCATTTGGGAGTTGTAGTTGCTGGGATTTATAGTTCACCTACAATCAAAGAGCACTCTGAACCCCAGAAACGAAAGAATTGGGGCAAACTTCTCACACAGAAGCCCCATGACCAACAGAAAATACTTAAGGCCATCCAGTCCAACTCCCTTCACCAGGGCAAGAAAACGTAATTAAAGCCCTCCTGACAAAGAGCCATCCAGCCATAGAATGATTCACACACACACAGATATAGTATCATAGATTTGAAAGGGACCCCGAAAGAAGGACAATTATATGTTGCATATTCCAGAGTAGGCAAACCAGACAATCTCCACATGACAAGAAACAGCAAGAAATACTGTTTACCCTCAAACATAAAGAAATTACAGATATTAGAAACCAACACTTTCCATTACTTTATTTTCCAGATCACCAGTCTGGGCCACAGCAACGCGTGGCAGGAGACGGCTAGTTTTTTTCTAAAATAGGACCAGTCACCATGTCTTCTCTAACACTTGAAATGCACATCATTATTTCTTATGGGGCACTTTCAGTTAGAAAGCCCTCGGTAGCGCAATGGGTTAAACTCTTGTGCTGGCAAATCTGCTGACCAAAAGGTTGGCTGTTCAAATCTGGGAAGTGGGGTGAGCTTCCATCTGTCAGTTCCAGCTTCTCATGTGGGCACAAGAAAGAAGCTTCCCACAGGATGGTAAAACATAGAGGCATCCCTTACAGATGGTCAATTCTCTCACACCAGTAATGACTTGCAGTTTCTCAAATCGCTCCTGACACAAAAAAAGTGAGAAATGTCACCAAGCAATTGCTGCCCATCTAAAATTTGCTAATTGAAGCTCCTTCACTGCTTGATCTGTTAGCAAATCTCTTTCTACTAAATGAAAGACTGTGACCTAAGGTTTCCTTACATTCTTTTCTGGACATTTCATAAAGCCTTTGCTCACTTTATTGAAAGATTTATGTGTTTATTTTTCAGCCAGCACTAATATGGTTATTTTTCACAGGCTTTATTGGAAATCCAGCCCATAAAAGAGCCAACAGCCAGGATTTCATCTTTCAGAACAAAAAGGCGTCTATGCCTCCAGGCGTGGCTTGGTGGATGAGAGTCAGGAACTGGAGATGATATATATGCAGCTATAGCTAGGCATGCAGGGTCCCACCCACTTAGGCATAAACACAGAAACTGACTTCTGCAAACACAGTGCCTCTAGCTGCATTGAGTTATCTGCATTTAAGGCCTTTTGCCCAACAGACTCTCTCCAGTACTATAATATGCTATAAAAATATGCATGTTGGACACATACCACAAGGAGATCGTTAAATAAAAATATTTCTCGCTGATGTAATCCAAGCTTCTGGGGTTTATTTGGATCTGGAACTTCAAAAAGCCTGCAGTAGCAAACAAGTCTTCGGTGGGGGAGGGAGAGAACCTGTGGGACGAAGATAAAGGAAAATGCTGATCTTAGATAATAAAATGTATATTATATAGTTTCACCACAACAGAGAAGAAACAAAATTAGAATGTTGTAAATAAAAGAAATCCCTTTAGCGAAGGAATCTTTTCATCAATCTTTCTGAGCACTGGTTGGGATTTTTCCTTCTTTTTTGTCAGGTTTATTTATTGATATCAACCTTTTATATTACTTTTTTGAAATATTTTGGCCAAGTTTGAGAATGGTCTCCCCTATTCTTACAGTGAGAAGCTGTTTCTCCTGTACTACCAGACCCTCCATTTGTTGGTCTATGACAGATACTTTGCAAGGATTATGGCCCTGTACTTGAGGGTCAATATGGATTTTCCTATATGCTTTACATTAAAAGGAAGGGACCATGGATTGCACACAATTGCATGACCAAACAAAAAGTAGAACTTTAATAGTTTTCAATACAATTACATTTCTATCATAATATTTTCTTGTTTTCTTTATCCTCAGTGCACACCAAATGCAAAAACAATTTCACTTCTAATTAAACAATTATTAAGTTGATCAACTTCATTTGATAGGCCACAAATACAGCTAAAAATCTCCCAATCAGCCACTGTGTTGGTATATGTGGTATAAAGGGGTTACAATAAGGAAAGTTTTTGGAGGGATTTTAGACTTTGTTGATCAGCTTTCCTATTCTGTTCAATACCCGAGACAACTATACAGGCAGTCTCCAAGCTACAAACAAGATAAGTTCTGTAGGTTTGTTCTTAAGTTGAATGTGTATGTAAGTCAAAACAGGTAGATTTTTAAAAGTGTGACTCCAGCTATGTCTATCTGTCTGTCTTTCTGTCTATCTATGTGATTCTCTGTTTTTCGATCGATCTATCTATCTGTCTGTCTGTCTGTCTGTCTGTCTGTCTGTCTATCTATCTATCTATCTATCTATCTATCTATCTATCTATCATCTATCTATCTATCTTTGGATAGCATAGGGTATGGTTAACTCTCCTATGGAGTTAATTTTGCTGTTTGTGTCCCTGTTCAGAAGATTTCACCTCACTTTCTGTCTCTGTGGAAACAAGGATTGGTGATAAAGCTTTTGTGAAGACATCTTTTCCCTATAACTCTTTCCGGAGTGACTCTCCCTTCCTCTGAGTAGATTTCTCTCACTTCCTGTTTTCTGATCCCCTTATAACTATGAGTCATTTGTAACCGGACTGTTTGTAACTCGGAGACTGTCTGTAGTAACCTGCTATTTCTTATTTGACAACAAAAGAAGAACATTGTGGAATGGATTTCCAAGCTTTACATATGATGCTTGGCCCAGTTCTGTTTCTATTAATACTCAAAGAATTCATGGAACAGGGCTGTTCCACTTCTCCTTCCCTCTGCCAGTTATTGACCAGAATAGGCAGTGTGGGAGGTGAGGTTAGTGGAAAACTACCTCCCTCCTGAAATGAACAATTTCAGACCTAGTTATAACAAAGATCAAAGCCATAAATCTATTTTTGCAACTGCAGCAAAAATTAGTTCAGAATTACAGCTTGCTATGCCTGGTATTTTCACCCATACAAAACCCTCAAAGGAAAAGACTTACATTTTTATGCATAACCTTAGGTACTGGAAAAAGAGGAAATTTCCTTTCGTGTTTAATTTGAATTTTAGCTAGTGGGCAGTTAATTGTTTCTAAAGGCAACCTCATTACTAAATGCTTGAGGTAGCTGAACTATATTAGTGAGCAAGGAACCATGAAACTAGAATTTTAATGTTCTGTTTAACCCAATAACGCAATGAGGTTTGCATGAGAACATTTTAACATTGATAACTAATAAAAACTAGTGGCCTGGATGCTCACTCTGAAATCTGACATCAAGGCTATGTGATTATCACCAGCGCACCACCTCTTCTTCCTCTCATATTGAACAAAAAATGTGTAAGTAGACAGCTTAGATCCAGGCAACCTTGGACAGAGAGATCTTTGGGAAAAGCTGTCTCGTGGTTCTGCTATAGTCACCAGGTTTGGCAGGGATATAAGAAAGGGCCTTTTTGAAGACTGCTCTTAGGCTATGGAACTGTTGATAAAGGGATTACAATGCCCGCCTTCTTTCTGTCTTCCATTGGCAAGAAAACAGTTTTCTATTCTAACATGATTTTGGGAACACTTTTTATTAATGGTTTCAAAAGAGTACTGTGTTGTATTTTAAATTGAAATATCTTGATGCAATTGCAAAGGCAGACCGAATCCAGCCAGCTCGTTATTCAGAGCCGCCATCCACGATGACTTCTGGTCATGCTGGACTTGATCCTCTAGACATAGGCGAGGAAGTCTACTGGGATCCATAGAATTTACTTTTGACCAGTAATTAAACTGTCTCATTAAAGTTTGAGCTTTTACTGGGAGTATTCCTAGCTCAGCCCTTACTGCCACCGTCAGCGTTGTTCTGGAAAGACCCAGGAAGGTGCGAAGCTGCTTCACTTGGAAGGCTTCAATCTTAGCCAAATTGATGCGCCCCCAAATTTCAGCCCCAAATATAAGTGCTGGCATTATTTTTGTTTTAAAGACTTCCAGGATCTTGATGCATTTTTGGTATTGTCAACAGTTTAATTAATTTTCAATGATACTTTTATATATTTTTCATATATTCTGTATTTGTTTTTGTTTTAATTGTATGTTACTTCATGCTCTGATAAGAACAATAGAAGATATGATTCCTAAGTATATATATTTCAATTTCACAATCATGTAGCATATAATCTTGTTACATTTCCATATTGAAAGCAATTGTAAGAAAGCCAAATGCATTGTAATAGCTTGAAATGAAAATAATAATACCAAAAACCCCAAATATAAAGGCACATTAAAAGGTGAAAGAAATATGGAGAGAAAATGGGCATACGAAGAAGAGAAGAAGATAGACTACAAGCTCAAGGACAATCGATGGTTCCCCTCTTATGTCTGAACTTGCCCCCCAAATAATTCTGTAGAAAACCAAACCCAGAACTTAATCTCTGCGAACCTATAAGACTCACTGGTTGCTAATGGGCTCCTGTAAGAAAAACAGGCTGTTTGTTTGTTTTTTTGTTTTATATCCTACCCTGCACAGGACTCACTGTGAAAATTTCATTATTGCCATTACTAATTGGTTGGACAATATGATAATATAAATATGGCTAATGGATAATGAAGTAAATGAGAAAGCATAAGGAGGCAGTCCCCAAGTTACAAACAAGATAGGTTCTTTTAGCTTTGTTCTTAAGTTGAATTGGTACTTAAGTCAGAACAGGTACATTTTTAAGTGTAACTCAAGACAAAAATAAATATGTTTTAGCTTTGACTAGCATAGGGTGTTAACACCCCTGTGGTGTTTGTTTTGCTGCCTGTGCCCCTGTTCAGAAGATTTCACCTCACTGATAATTGGGTTTTGAAAAATTGTGGAAACAAGGACTGCTGTTAAAGCTTCAGTGGATACACCTTTTCCCCATGATAACCCTTTCAGGAGTGAATTCTCATTTCCTGTTGTTTTTCCCTCGTTCTTAAGTATGAATCATTTGCAAGTCGGCTGTTTGTAACTTAGGGGCTGCCTGTATAGATATAGATCCTTTTCCCTTCAAAGACCATACAGATTTTTAAAATGCCTATGAGAATTTTTTTTTTAAAACCTTGAGATGGTTTTTATCTTAAGAGCAGCTCAGGAACACTGCTATCAGCAAGGTTTCCAAGTATAGCCGGTAGCTTCACTTATGCTTTCCACATAAATCACCCTTGCATTTAATGTTACTCTTGTGCTATCTCTGTGGGAAATTGAACTCCACAAGAACTCCACTATCTGATTTCCTTTGTATAATGGTAGGAGTTTATTAAGTGGGTGAATATATCTGTAAATAAAATATTTACTTTCAAAAAGCACAATCAAATTGGGACATAAAAACAGTTTAAAATGTTAAGGACTAGAAAGAGTCAGATCTTAAGTATATTCTGAATGTGAAAGAAAATACTTACACAACCAAGTCCATGATGGAGAGATCCAATCTATAATAAAAAGACACATGTTAATTAAACTTCAGACAATCACATAAGCTTATCACATGAAGTGAATAGTTCACAGCCTTACCATGATTAAAATGCAAGCAAACAATCCTATAAATAATAATAAGTAATTCTTTTCAAACTCTCATTTGTGTAATTACAGATGGATTGTGAGAAATATTAACCTAATCTTTTATTATGCAGAGTCACATGGTGTAGTGGATTGCGTGTTGGACCATGACTTTGAAGACCAGGATTTGATTTCTGTTCAGCCATGGGACCCTATTGGTGATCCTGGGCACATCACATGCTCTCAGCCACAGAAAACTCTGTGGAGGGTCACCTCAGGATCACCATAAATCATGGAGAATACCTACTTGATCAAGAAGTTTCATATTTCCAGAATCTTTGCTTACGCTAACAGCATCTACACCAAAGGAGGGCAACTAACTGCTTTGAGCACCCCTAGGGGTGAGAAAAGCGGTATACTAATACTGTAAATAAAAATGTAAATAAATAAATAACTATGGAAGGCTAGGGGGCTGCATTAGTCCCCCTTGAGACCTCGGATGGCTACATTGCTTGGTGTGTGTGTGTGTGTGTGTGTGTCAATTTTGTTGCCCCCAAATGCCCTCTAGGGGCATGGGATAGCTTCACTATGTTTTTGGAACTTCTTTGGCCATTTTTGGATATGAAGAGGTATTTAAAAAAAACAACAGGAAGTGAGATGTTACTTGTTGTTCACTTATTGTTTCAAAGAATGGTCAGAACATTCTGGGATATTTTTTATTGTTATGAAATTTAATCCCTTACATTTAGAAATTTAAAGCCAAGTGGCTTCCAAACATAATACAAATGCCCTCAATACTCACAGAAGCATCTGGGAGCAAAATAACCTATTTTTCTTTTCTTTTTACTCTTGAGGGTACACACTTTGCCCACCCCTACTCTACACAAACAGGAACTTCATCACTTTCCACTTGCTGTCTGAAACCTGGTAATATTAAAACAGGGCAGCTTTCTGCCCAACAATCTCAATCTGTTCATTTCCTCACATGGAACAAATATCCTGTTAGTGTTACTGTATCAGCAGAAAGGGCTACAAAGAAAATTAACAATGGGATGGTAAAACTTACCAGCAAAACCCAAGCTGTATTGCTGGGCAGCTATATGTCTCAAATAATTCTCAAATCTGCACTTCTGCTATTGTGGAAATGGAGTTTAGGAAAAACTCAACAGTAATATAATTGTAAAACACTGGGTTGTTATGAAAACTAATGCTTTTATTAAAATAAGGTGTTCATAGAATCATAGAATCAAAGAGTTGGAAGAGACCTCATGGGCCATCCAGTCCAACCCCCTGCCAAGAAGCAGGAATATTGCATTCAAATCACCCCTGACAGATGGCCATCCAGCCTCTGTTTAAAAGCTTCCAAAGAAGGAGCCCCCACCACACTCCGGGGCAGAGAGTTCCACTGCTGAACGGCTCTCACAGTCAGGAAGTTCTTCCTCATGTTCAGATGGAATCTCCTTTCTTGTAGTTTGAAGCCATTGTTTCGTGTCCTAGTCTCCAGGGAAGCAGAAAACAAGCTTGCTCCCTCCTGCCTGTGGCTTCCTCTCACGTATTTATACATGGCTATCATATCTCCTCTCAGCCTTCTCTTGAATTCAATTTTATGGTAGGAATGTGATTTGCTTAATTATGAAAACTGTGGATCCAGAAAGATTTTCTAGGATTGATACAGAAACTAGAGTTGTTTCCTGAGATTTCCAGATCATATTTACATGGGTTATATTTTAAGTGCCAAACACAAGGAGCATTGAAATTTTTGCAGCCTTCACAAAAATAAGGCATGTTGTTTCAGGTCCTGAAAAATCTAGTTATGTCGACAAATCCCTATCCTGATGGATCTACAATATATAACGTAAAATTGGATGAAGTGTCATCCAACTTACTGGTTTCTTTCCCACTATGAGTTTTTCAACCTTTTGGACTTGTGACACATGATCCTCATTTGTCTTGAGTTCCCGCTTTCGGATTCTCTCATAAATCCCAATAAGCATCTCTCGTGGGATATCTTCGCCGTCATCCACACCTGCAAAACCCAAAATTGATTGTTATCGACTCAGACAGTACAACTCTAACAATTCAATAGTGTCCTTCTCATCAAGGACACTAACAAGTGCAGTTAGGCCAAATCATCTCTAATGCAGGTATTATTTATTAACTCCAATGGCAGGCCAATTAGATCCTACATCACCGTATGTCATGATAAAATATTTCCACTCAATCTGCTACTTAACAATGAAAGAAGTAATCGACAGATACACATTTCCAGATATTTTTGATGCCATAAGAGAATAAGCAATTTTTCTCAGATTATTTTGGAAGCAAAAGGAGGGAATTAAAATTGGAAGAAATGCTCTTTTAAAGAAGCATCCTTCTTTTCCAATATATTATTTTCTAATATATTATTTTCTAATATATATTATTATATTAGAAAATTAAAATGCATTGAGTGTAACCTGGCTTATTTGCATGTAAAGATTTAATATTCAGTATAGTTAGAAGTATAGTTTATTCAAATAATAACGACGTATTTATTAACTAAATCATTTTTGCTACAAAGACTGTACAAGTCACTGAAACACTGGAAATCAAACATCTCTTAATTTTTGTCAGTTTATGAAAAGAAAGCCCAAAGATCAAACCTGAAAATAGTAGAAACCATTGAAGTAAGTAATGTAAATCTGAATTATGCTCTTGGGGTGGGAGGTGGGAAAGATGAGGGGAAAAAGTTGGGGAGAGAGTCACTAATATTAATTTTGCTAAATGAAACTTTGTCTCATTATTTTTATCTGAGCTATAGTTTTTTCCCCTTCTTTTGAGGTTTCCTTATGACAACCATGTTCAGTCTTCTAAAAACTGAAGTTTGTCTGATTGAGATAAGATTCTCTGGCCTCTCATATCTCTTAGTTCCTTGATTATAAATACTCCTAAACACTGACCAGTTTCTTTCACATGTGCAGAAGTTGAGGAATGTTAAAAAGTAAGATGTGAGAGAAGTGGGAGGTTGAATCAAGCAAAGAACTTGACATCATGTTTTGAGGATAAATATGCATAACCGAAAACCAGCCTACATTCTTGGAGGAAATACATAAATATGACTTTGATTCTCCAGCCGTTTTTTTATTTATTTCCGATATTGGCTATATTACTTTTCTATATTGGGACTCGGAGCGGCTTATAGATTTGTCAGTTCAGTGCCACATTGCAATACAAAATATATAATATACAACAAATTAAACATCAACAAAAACATATAAATACATAAACTGTTAAAAGCATATATCAGTTGACAGTTCCTTTTTGACACTAACTCCTGTATATGCTTAAAAATCATTAATAAAAACAACAGAATTATAAAAGAGCGATAGCAATTTCATCATTAATGTTTTATTAATCTTTCTAGAAAAAAAGTATTCCATAAATTAACATTGTTTTGTGTTCTCAGTTTCTCGTGGAGAATGGGTAGGACCACAAATAAATAATACCCACCAAAACTTAAGATAGAGAGCAAATAGAAAGTATAAGAACTTGAAGATCACAAATAGGGTATTGAAGGCAATAGTCTTTTCTCATTGTTGCTGTTGGTTAGTGGCAAACTGACTTTAACCAGAGATACCCTGACTGTAATTAGATGTTTATGGAAGATAAATACAGCTCACACTCATGTCCTGGGAAAGGGAGCTTAGAGTCCTATGAACTTCATCAGAGCTACAGTCACCTATAATATTTTTACATAATCACACACCCCTCCTCCCACTACCGAAGTAGGCTCAGGCTGTGTTTGGAAACCTGGCTGGTCATTTACTGGAAAGCAGATACATTACAGGACATAAAAGTGCAAACAAACCCGTAACTCCTTCATAAAATCACAGAACCTAAAAAAGCAGTCCTCGATCCTTGTCCTTTACCAAAAAGATGGTGAAGGTGCCTATCTTTGCGATTGCATCTTCCCCTACGAGCCAGCACGCACCCTGAGATCATCCGGGGAGGCTCTTCTCTTGCTTCCGCAGCTGTCTCAAGAACAGTTGATGGGGATGAGGGAGAGGGCCTTCTCGGTGATGGCCCCTTGGCTTTGGAACTCCCTCCCTAGGGAGATCAGACAGGCTCCCACTTTGTCCACCTACCACAGGGAATTAAAAACTTGGATGTTCCATCATGCCTTTGATTAGGCAGTTTCACCAAGAACTATCTTGATCCTATTTTAAGCTCCTGCACTTTAGTAACCTCGACACATGGTTAAGGGTATATCCTCTAGCCTTGTTCATTTGAATTTTGCACCTTTTATCAGCTCTATTTAGGAATCATTGCACTTACTTGAGCCCGAACCCAGCTTCGACTTTTTATCTCAGCCATAAGATTGTTTTACGATGATGTGCTGTGACTGTATTATGTTTTTATTTGATTGATTTTAATGTGTTCTGTTTTTATCTGTAATTTTGTGTGCTTGTCCCTTTGCAAGCCATCCCGAGTCCGCTTGGGGAGATTATTATTATTAGGTGTTCCTCTTATCTGCCCCTGCTACCTGCTAATGATCAACCCAGAACCAATAGTCATGTCTTCCTGGGGTAGCCAAAACAAGAGGGAGATTAGAAAATTCCCATCTGGCCCCATACCTACCAGCAACACTCACTCTGCTCTGCAGGATGAGAAGGGAGACAAATAGATCCTAAAAACCCTCTTGTCCCACCCCACAACACTCAGCATAATGGCGCCTTGTGCCTGACTTTGGCTTCTTTTTCATAACGTCAATCAAAGACAACTCCTCCCTTGCAGTGCTTTGTGCCATGCCGGTCTAGAGTCAAAATGTTTCTTTATGTCTAAATCGTACAATTTTAAAAGTCATGCTACACCACAACAGTAGTAAACTACTAGAACGTGCCATTTACTATTATTTTTTTCTGCCACTACCAGCCAATTTACAACAACATTCTGAGCACTTAACATAATTCACTGTGTAAGGTTCCATCATGCAACGCAGCTGTAATAGCTCTGCTGGTAATAACATTTGTGTGCCAATTGAACTTTAAATACACATAAGCGTTCTGGAAACCTATTGCTATATTTGGTGCTACGATTGTGGCACATGCAGAAGCTTGTTTTGTTTATTATAAAAATGTATGCTGTGCCCTTGAAACAGATTCCTGGGGTGTCTTACAATACTACATCACAACTATGAGAAAAGCATTCAGAAACACTTTATACCAGATAGAATAAAAAACAGCATGATTCGGAATTTTGAAAAAAGAGCAATGTAAGAACTGCAGAGCAATAAAAGAGTTCAGCCAAAATGTCATCAATATAAGATTCATAGCTAGATATTACAGAATCCTATGCAAAATAAGCAGGGTACGATTCACTTGTATCTAACTACAAGAAAACAGGCACCTTGTGAACAAGGGAAAAACACTAAATGAATGAATGAATCGCCCTGCCTCAGCAATGAGTTTGTGCATAGTTGTATCAGAGTTTTTTGTTGTGAGCCTTCAAGTTGTTTCAGACTTTTGGCGACTTGGTAAGAATGAAGATCTCAGAAAAATCTTGATGGCAGGACTGAGGATTTTTTTTTTTTTACTAAGGAAAGACAAATCCTCTGCCTTCCCCACTCCAAACAAGATGTTTTTGATTACAAAGGATGTTAGGAGGTTCAGTCACAATCTCTGACATCATTTAGTTCCCCATCCAAAACCATGGCTGGAGCTCCTCCTTCTCGAAATCTGGTGTCTCTGCCCTCTTTTGAGGTATTAAAAAAATCATTTTTGGTTCAGTGCCAGTTGAAGGAACCCTTTGGCTAGAGAGCTGGAATTGTTCCAGAGAGAGATGCTCTTCACTTCTCTAGCAAACTGAGAGTTCCTAGCCCAGAAATTTCTGAAATTTCACTCTAAACAGTTTGCAAAGAAGAATTTAAGAGTACTAGCAGATTGATAAATGTAAGACTTTTCTAGTAATAAAACAACCATAATCTTTGGATTCCACTGTTTCCTTTAGTCAGAGGCGGCCCTAGGTAATTTTCAATGGTAAGCAAACAGTATTTTGGCGCCCCCCCTCCCCCAAAACCAATCTCTATCTATCTATCTATCTATCTATCTATCTATCTATCTATCTATCTATCTATCTATGGGGGCATGGACAAATTTTGGCCCTCCAGGTATTTAGGATTTCCTACTGGCTGTTTGGAATTGTGGGAATTGAAGTCCAAAACACATGGAGGGCTGAAGTTGGCCCATGCCAGCCATACATACACACACACACACACTAGCCATCCCCTGCCACGCGTTGCTGTGATCCAGTCTAGTGATCTTGAAAAGAAAGTAATAAGAAAGTTGGTTTCTAATATATGTAATTTCTTAATGCTTGTGGGTAAATAGTATTTCTTGTTGTTTCTTTGTCAGTGTTGATGTAGTTCCAACACAAAATACTGAAGGGATTTGGGGAAAATAGACTCTGATACTGGAGGGGTTTTGGGGAAACATGTACAATAATTTAGATTTGCAGTACCTTCAGTCACTTCCGTTCATGAAGAAACCTCCTTGCCGCCCTGAGAGGGGTGATGGCACAGCTGCCTGGAGAGGCACTTGCAATGCTGCCCCTCTTCACACAGGAGAAGAGGCCCTGTGCTCCATCGGCTCCTGGGTATGCGCTTTGCATTCTCTTCCCCCACACGCTTTGCAACTCCGGGAGAGGGACACGCGCCGGCATTACCAGGCGCACGGAAAAAGAGCCCTCATGCAGGGAGCATGCTCTCCCTCCATCCTTCCCTCACAAGTGCGCACGTTGTCCTCCTCTCCTCCTCCTCCTTGCAGGCCAAGGGAGACAACAACGCCAGTGTGCATCCTTCTCCCAGCGTTAGGAAGTGCATGGAGAAGGAGGGCGATGCAGGGCGCACATTTCCTAATGCCGAGAGAGGGATGCGCAGCGGCATTGCCGGGCACGTGGGAAAAGAGGCCTCGTGCATGCCTCTTTTGTGTTTCATCTTGGGTGCTATCTTTGAAATGTGTCATTGTGTATGTAAACAGCTATCCCATGATCCCAAACATTTTATTTATTTATTTACAGTATTTGTATACCGCTTTTCTCACCCTCAGGAGGACTCAAAGTGATTTACACACTTCTAGTTCAAAGCACTTTGGATCAGGGATACTCAACCTGTATTACATTACAAACTGCTAGACCGGCTGTTAGGTATTGTGGGAGTTGAAGTCCGAAACACCTGGAGGGCTGAAGTTTGCTCTTGCATGTGCTTGACCCAGAAGCAGATGAAGAGCCCTCCTTCCATCCAACTGCCACTGCTTTGGCCTTGGAGAAACAGGTGGCATGTGAAGCCATGGAGCCCTTCCAGACAGGCCCTATGCCGCATTATCACAGGGTGTTTACGCCCTACACCACTGGAGAAATTACACTGCCTAGCCGGTATTGCACCACCTGACATCCGCCGGGAAGTAGCAGCCAATAGTGAAAGGACCAAGGCAGTGACATCTCCAGCTCATCCCCTGTTTGGGTATCAGCCAGCACGTCAACGACTTAAATCACAGTTTTCTAAGATCTACAGAGACACTCGCTGGAACACCTCAGCAAGCGAGAGTCCAAAAGTGGCAGGCTCAAACCCAGCACCTCAGCCCATGGCTGATACCAGATGAGAGACTCCCCCTGGGCACACAGAGGACTGGGCGACTTGGAAGGCGCTGAACAGACTGCGCTCGGACACCACGAGATGCAGAGCCAACCTTCAGAAATGGGGCCACAAAGTGGAATCCTCGACATGCGAGTGTGGAGAGGAGCAAACCACTGACCACCTGCTGCAATGCACCCTGAGCCCTGCCACATGCACAATGGAGGACCTTCTTGCAGCAACACCAGAAGCACTCCAAGTGGCCAGATACTGGTCAAAGGACATTTAATCAACTCTCATACTCACAAATTTTGTAATCTGCTTGTTTGCTTTGTTCTGTTAGAAATGTAACATAATTTGACTGGTTGTTCTGACATGACAAATAAATAAATAAATCCCAGGTTTTCAGCTTTAAACTGGATCATATGAGTCCACTCTGCCAGATAATCCAGGATAAACAGAAAACCTGCAATCACATCCTGGGATATAGGGCCTGTCTGGACAGGCCCTTCATCCCTTCCCACACTGGCATCCCTTTGCCTTTGTGTCATGTTTTAATTAAATTATACACCTAAGGGCAGGGGAGCATTTTGTTGTTGCTTTACTCGTACAGTGACAGTGTTACACAGTTGGTGTTCTGCAACCACTGCTTCAACCATCCATGGTTTGAAAACATTTTTTTTTAAAAAAAATCCCAAAGCAGTCTTTGATTTTGCCACTTTGTACTGTGGAAATATAAATATAGAGCTCCATAGTGTCTCGTCCAACAGCAGTTGGGATTGAGCCCTGGAACTGATGGAAGGATAAGTGGAAGGACAAGAGTTAGCAACCCAAAAGACACTGCTGCAAAATGTAATTGCTAAAATATCAAAGTCAAAATATTATCCAAATTTAAACTATTCGGCCAGCAATGGAAAGGAATCACACAGGATCATATTTTTGCAGTCCATTAAGTGTGTTGATGACAAATCAGATAAAGGAATACTGGGAAATTAATATAAAGCAGTGTGTATAAAGGGACATTACATTTGGTAATCTAATGCAGGCTTTAAAAGGTTTTAAAGATCAAGTCAGGGTTTGCTGCAGTTTTTAGTTTTGGATATGTTTTTTATGGATTTTAACTGAATTTTTAAAATACCAATGATATTTAATTCCATTTTAATGTTTGCATATTTGTGGATTTAAACTGTACTGAAATGTTTTTAATCTAAGCCAACTTGAGTCTTCTTGGGGAGAGAAAAAGCAGGGTATAAATAAACATAATAATGTGTTGTGGAAGGCTTTCATGGCCAGAATCACTGAGTTGCTGTGAGTTTTCTGGGCTGTATGGCCATGTTCCAGAAGCATTCTCTCCTGACATTTTCCCCACATCTATGGCAGGCAACCTCAGAGGAACAAAATCTGGCTACCAGTACCCTCTAAAATAACCCTCTAAAATCAGAACAATAAATAAAGAGCAACACTAAAAAGGGGGGGGGGAATTCCTGACATGAAGCAATCAGGGCCAGTTAACCGCTCCCAACAAAGGATTCCTGGGCAGCAACTAGCTCGGCTTCGAAGCTGCAAGGCCATTAAATACTCATCAAGATGACCAATTGCAACATTCACACTTACCTCAAGCAGACATGAGTTCTTTTTCCCACCCTGGACATTCCACAGATATACAAACCCCACTTGCCTAGTTACAAACAGACCTCACAGCCTCTTGAGGATGCCTGCCATAGATGTGGGTGAAACATCAGGTGAGAATGCTTCACCAAGCACCAAAGAGCATTCTGAACTCCACCAATAATAGAACTGAACCAAACTTGGCATACCGGACTTCCATGACTAACAGAAAATACTGGAGAGGGGGTTGGGAAAAATAGACCCTGACATTTGGGAATTGCAGTTTACCAAGCACCAAAGAACATTCTGAGCTCCACCAACAATAGAATTGAACCAAGCTTGGCATATAGGACTTCCATTACCAAATACTAGAGGGGTTTGGGGGAGGCATGTACAAAAGATGACATTTGCAGTACCTTTTGACCAGGCCTCCTTGCTGCCCTGAGAGGGGTCCAGGCTCAGCTGCAGGGAAGGAAAGGGAAAGCGAAAGAGCCTGGCTGGCTGCCTCCTGGCAGCACGTGGAGGGAGGACTTCCCTCTCGCCTAGTGGGCGGGGCCTGCGCTTCTCCATTAGAAGCCTGTTGAGGGCGCATGGGGCCTGCAGGAGAGGCGTGGCCTAAGGACAGAACAGCGCCCCCTGGCAAAAAAAGTATTCCGCGACCGCTTACTTCGAGTAATGGACGGGCCGGCCCTGCCTTTAGTGCAAAAGCCAGTTGCAGAAACATATCAATTGGGAAGAGGATCCTGCCTGGAAAAATGGCTAATGCTGTTCTGATGACTGAAGGTAACAACAGCAATTAACCCACTCTACTAGGCTCTGCTCTAGCTGCTCCAGACGGGGTACCACCACACAGCAAAGATTACCTGGCCCTGCACCCTGGTTTTAAACATAGTGCAAAGGTAAGAGGCTGTTGTTCTATGCTTGTTAAGTCATTTACAACTCATGGCAACCCTAAGGTGACCCTATCACAGGGGTTTATGTGTCTGAAAATGTGTGTCTCATATAGGTTCACCAGTGGACCTCCACTGCCAAGTGGAGAATCAAACCCTGATTTCAAGAGTCCAAACCATTACACCACACCAGTTGAAGAGGTTACCAGTTGAAGAGTGAAAATTGTGAGTTCGGACTAAGATTGAAATGAAGATAGCTATCAGCCTATTTATTTGTATAGCTGTGTATGTCGACACTAAGTTTATGAATAAAAATGAAATAGTCTAGTGCTAAACAAAGGTGGGATAAGAAGTGAAGTTGAGAATGTACCATCTTTCTTATGCCATTTTCAATCACATCAAATGCACAAAAATTACAACTAAAGATGAAATACTGAAGTGAAATTAGCTGTTCTTAAGGAAGGTAGCCGATCATGGCAATACTTTTCTGTAGTGGTGGGACTGCGAGGTTTGTGTGGGGGTTTTTTTTGGGGGGGGGGCATTGATAGAAGATCTCTCAGAGACAACAACAGTGGCACCATAGCTAACGCCTATTAGTATGATGCAGAAGGAAGCATGGTAAAGTCATTTACCATTAAAACCTTATGACAGGGTGACTTGGAAATTACTTATTCATGGAGTAGTCATAAATCAAAGTTGACCTGATGACAGTTAAGAAAAAGATTTTTTTTTTTTTGTACTGCAGCATAAACTGTTTCGGAAGTCAGATAAAACAGGGCAAGTACAGAGGGTTAAACAGCCATCTATAGAAGATCCTGCCGACCGGAAGGGGTGAGCTCCTGCCATCAGCCCAGCTTCTGCTGACCTAGCAGTTTGAAAACAACAATGTAAGTAGATAAATAGGTACCACTTTGGTCGGGAGGTAAAAGGTGCCCTGAAAAACATGTCGATAAAAATCCAACCAGGAAAAGTGGTCATGGAGGACAGACTTCTCAACATGGAAAAATGAAACAACAGCACCTCCCTATGGCTGAGTCGAGTACAGACAAATGCCAGAGATGAAAAAAGGGAAGCCTTGCCTCTGTTTATCTACTATTTCTCTCTGTCAATTGTATAACGGCATTGAATGTTTGCTATATATGTTCCTGTAATCCGCTCTGAGTCCCTTTGGGGAGATAGACTGGAATGTAAATAAAGTATATTATTATTTATTATTAGGTGAAGCACATATGCATGCTAACTCAGAAAGTCATTTGTGTTCGAAGTGATTCAGTCCCAGTTCAACTCTGCAACTTGTAGAACTGATGTTAAATACTATTTTGTAGGCTTCATACCTCACTGGTATTCATAAATAGTCCCATTTAGAAAAGTGGCATTGCTGTCCCATTACTGAGAAAAATATTATCTCACGTTCTGTGCTTTCCAACGCAGTCCCCAGCAGCTAAGGCATACCAAAATCATATTATAAATACTGGATTAACTTTGTCCTCTCTGTTTAAGAATGCCAGAGCTCTCAATACATGTCTCATATTTCAGCATAGAAAAAAGTCTAATATACATATCCTGTAAACACTTAGTTTCTTAAATTAAGCCTACCTCTGAGATTCTTGACAAAATCTTCAAGCTTCATTTTGCGTTCTGGTTTCACATTTGGACTATACATATCTGTATTTAGTAATATAATTGCAAAAGCTAGAATGAAGATGGTATCAGGATTTCTGAATTGCCTCACAACGCCTGGATTGCAGATGCAGTATCTCTGGCTAGGAAAGACAGTGAAAGAAAAGAGCCAGTTAGATTAAAGGATGAATCAGTTGACCACTTAGGACATAGTAACAAACGGTATCATTCAGGATGCTGAAATTATACTCATGACGCAAACATTTTGTGTTCTAAAAATATGAACTATTTCATCCCAGTTTTTAAATTTAATTGTAGCTTCTCTAATGCAGATGAAATGTTTTTATGTTTGTTGTCTGCCTTCACTTTACTATTGGTTAGTGTGTGTAGTTAAAGTTTTGCTCACTTCATTAAAATAAATGCCCTTTGAACTTTACATGTTGTATAGGAGCACAGATGTCTAATATTGCAATCGGTATTCTGCCATGTAGGGAAAAAAAGAAAGATTAATCACTAAATGTTACACAATTAACCAGAAAGCAGAGAGCTAGCAATATATTATTTACTGATAGCAAATTAAAATTCATGCAAAAATATTGCACACTTTGCCATCAAAGCCTCCACTGTACTCAACAGAATGTATTCCCAGTTATAAACGTGCATAGGATTGAAGCTATACTCGCTTGATGGATTAATTCACATCGCATTGCATGCAGACTTCTGTTTGTGCTCCACTGCAATTATGACGTAAAACCCCGCAATGCATCCCGTGAAAGTGAATGTGTGCCAAGCATAACTAAATAGGGTGGCTGGATGGGATTGGAACACATCTCTTCTCTCCTGCAATATCTTTAATTGCCACCTTTGATTTTTTTTCCTTTAAGAGGGATCCTTGCTGTCATAACTCCATTTCCCTCTGCAGTCCCTCTCATAATGGAAGATGAGACATTTGCCACAATTTTGAGAGGCGGGGCTTCCTGGTTATCCTATATAAACCAGTGTCTGAACCCAAGGGGCATCTGCTCCCACAGAAGTTGAGGAAGCAGGAATCCATTTTGTTTCCTTCTGCTTCAGGATAAGCTTTGTTTAAATTTAACTGCTTTCAGTGCTTTGTTTGAGAGGAGGGGCTTCCTGAGTTTAAAAATTAACTGCTTTGTTTGAGAGGCGGGGCTTCCTGAGTTTAAAAATTAACTGCTTTGTTTGAGAGGCGGGGCTTCCTGGTTATCCTATATAAACCAGTGTCTGAACCCAAGGGGCAGCTGCTCCCACAGAAGTTGAGGAAGCAGGAATCCATTTTGTTTCCTTCTGCTTCAGGATAAGCTTTGTTTAAATTTAACTGCTTTCAGTGCTGCTTGTTTGAGAGGAGGGGCTTCCTGAGTTTAAAAATTAACTGCTTTGTTTGAGAGGCGGGCTTCCTACACTTTCCACCCCCGCATACAGACAACAACATAAAACACACACCAAGAGGAGATCATTAGCAGCCTGCAGATGGAACAAACACTACATCTTCCTGTCCCATGCACAAGCTGTGGCATGTTCAGCTTTTTCACACAACAATTAATTACATCTGCCCCAAGTGTAAACAGATCACTCACATGGAACACAGGATCCGACAACTCGAGGACCGTATTAAGACCCTTAAGGACATTCAGGAACTTGAGCTGTTCTTAGACACCACACACCACACTGTCCTAGACACGCAGCCCATATCACACCAACATTACAGGGAGGCTCAACAGAACAGCACCTCAGATGTGGGCAACCCTCAGGCTTGGAGAAATGTCACCCTTAGAAGGACACATAGGACCTGGAAGCCTCCTCAGAATACTTCCGCTCAGCTGCAGTTACACAATAGATTCCAAATTCTCACACAACTATCACCTGACCAAGAAACACAACATATTGGGGAAGACCAGAATGGCTTAGATACTGATCAGTGGCTCATCCTTGATCAGTGTGCGGGGGATAGCCCTGACTGGGACAACACTTCACAACATTCACACTTGCACAATCCTGCAGGTGTACCATCCCCAACCATAGACCAGGAGCAACAGGAACACATACAGGAGAACCATAGGCTCTTGGACGAATCTCAATGGATTGTCCTTGACGAATGCACCGGGGATGTCGAAGAGGAGGACAACACTTTTCACCTACACAATTCACACCAACAGGATCACTTTTCTGGAGACCTACACACTACATTGCACAAAAGGGGCCCTGTCATTCCCGAAAGTAAACAGGTCTTGGTAGTAGGCGACTCCCTCCTTAGAGGAATGGAAGCTGTCATTTCCAGACCGGATGGGATGGCTCGAGAAATATGCTGCCTACCGGGGGCAAAAATACACCATATCACTCAGAGGCTCACCAGGCTCCTCAAGCCCTATCACCGTCCTCCCCTCATGTTGATTCATGTAGGAACCAATGATACTGCAAGGCATACGTTTCAAAAGATCACAAATGATTTTCGAGCTCTAGGAGCAAAGCTAAAAGAATGTAATGTACAGGTGGTCTTTTCATCCCTCCTCCCTGTTGTAAGACACGGACCCACAAGCCAGAAAAATAGTACAGGTCAATGACTGGCTTAGAAAATGGTGTCAGGAGGAACGCTTTGGCTTCCTCAACCATGGCCTGCTTTTCCAGGAGGATGGCCTACAGGCAAGGGATGGGGTGCATCTCACACAAGTAGGAAAACACCTTTTTGCTCACAGACTCGCAAACCTCATTAGACGAACTTTAAACTAGGTCCACCGGGGGAGGGGGACAACAGCCTTGCGAACACTACTTTACCCATAATGTCTGGGAATCGCCAGAAGGCTAAACGGAGGGCTGCACAAACACAACAAGGACCAAGTACCAAAAGCACAATAATCCAAATTAAACAGCTCAAGGGAAGATCTCAGGGGCTCACATGTCTTTACACTAATGCACAGAGCATGGGAAATAAACAAGACGAACTCCAACTTTTAGCACAACACCACAAATATGATATCATAGGGATCACTGAAACCTGGTGGGATGACTCCTATCGCTGGAATGTAGATATCGAGGGGTATAACCTCTTTCACAGAAACCGAACAAAGGGGAGAGGAGGCGGAGTAGCCTTATATGTCAAAAACTCTTATGCTGCAGAAGAGATTCAAGACAGCAATCTGGGAAACCAGCTTGAAATCATCTGGATAAGAATCAAGGGAACTGGGACTCAAAAAGATGTCGTTGTAGGCGTCTACTACAGACCCCCAAACCAGGAGGAAGAACTTGATGAAGTCTTCTGCCAACAGTTGACCAAACAGGCACAGAGAAGAGATGTAGTAGTCATGGGCGATTTCAACTATCCCGATATTTGCTGGAAAACAAACTCGGCCAAGAGTACAAGGTCCAACAAATTCCTCGCTTGCCTTGCAGACAATTTCATGGTCCAGAAGGTAGAAGAGGCAACAAGGGGATTGGCTACTCTTGATCTCATCCTAACAAATGCGGAGGACCTGATCGATGCGGTCGAAGTGGTAGGATCCTTAGGGGCAAGTGACCATGTGCTCCTGCAATTTGAGGTACAAAGGAAGGCCGAAACTAAGACAAGTCAAACCCGCATTTTGGACTTTAGGAGAGCTGATTTCCAAAAAATGAAGGAAACGCTGAGCAGCATTCCGTGGACACAGATACTAAAAGACAAGGGAGTTACGGATGGATGGAAATTTCTCAAGAGTGAAATACTCAAGGCGCAATTGCAAACCGTGCCAACAAAGAGAAAAAATAGGACAAGTGCAAAGAAGCCAGAATGGATGTCCAAAGAACTTCTAACTGTGCTAAGACACAAAAGAGACATGCACAAGAAGTGGAAAAAGGGAGAAATCACCAAAGAAGAATTCAAACAAATAGTCAACACCTGTAGGGAAAAGGTCCGCAAGGCTAAAGCACAAAACGAGCTCAGGCTTGCCAGGGACATTAAAAACAATAAAAAGGGCTTCTTTTCTTATGTCAGTAGAAAAAGGAAAAACAAGGAGGCAATAGGGCCTCTTCGAGGAGAAGATGGGGCAATGCTGACAGGGGATAGGGAAAAGGCAGAACTACTTAATGCCTTCTTTGCCTCGGTCTTCTCACAAAAAGAGAGTCTTCAACCTCAGCAAGATGGAGTGGATGAGGGATTGGAGGACATCCAACCCCAAATTGGGAAAGAAGTCGTCCAGGAATACCTGGCCGCTCTTAATGAGTTCAAGTCCCAGGGCCAGATCAACTACACCCCAGAGTATTGAAGGAACTAGCGGAAGTCATTTCGGAACCATTGGCGACCATCTTTGAGAGTTCTTGGAGAACGGGAGAAGTTCCAGCAGATTGGAGGAGGGCCAATGTGGTCCCAATCTTCAAGAAGGGAAAAAAGGATGACCCAAACAACTACCGTCCGGTCAGCCTCACGTCGATACCGGGCAAGATTCTGGAAAAGATTGTTAAGGAAGCGGTCTGCAAACACTTAGAAACAAATGCGGTGATCGCTAATAGTCAACATGGATTTATCAAAAACAAGTCATGCCAGACTAATCTGATCTCTTTTTTCGATAGAGTTACAAGCTGGGTAGATGCGGGGAATGCCGTGGATGTAGCGTACCTGGATTTCAGTAAGGCCTTCGCCAAGGTCCCCCATGACCTTCTGGCAAGGAAACTAGTCCAATGTGGGGCTAGGCAAAACTACGGTGAGGTGGATCTGTAATTGGTTAAGTGGACGAACACAGAGAGTGCTCACTAATGCTTCCTCTTCATCTTGGAAAGAAGTGACAAGTGGAGTGCCAGGGTTCCGTCCTGGGCCCGGTCCTGTTCAACATCTTTATTAATGACTTAGATGAAGGGCTAGAAGGCAGGATCATCAAGTTTGCAGACGACACCAAATTGGGAGGGAGAGCCAATACTCCAGAGGACAGGAGCAGGATTCAAAGGGATCTTGACAGATTAGAGAGATGATGGGCCAAAACTAACACAATGAAGTTCAACAGTGACAAATGCAAGATACTCCACTTTGGCAGAAAAAATGAAATGCAAAGATACAGAATGGGGACGCCTGGCTCGAGAGCAGTACGGGTGAAAAAGATCTTGGAGTCCTCGTGGACAACAAGTTAAACATGAGCCAACAATGTGATGTGGGGGCAAAAAAAGCCAATGGGATTTTGGCCTGCATCAATAGGAGCATAGTGTCTAGATCTAGGGAAGTAATGCTACCCCTCTATTCTGCTTTGGTTAGACCACATCTGGAATATTGTGTCCAATTCTGGGCACCACAATTCAAGAGAGATATTGACAAGCTGGAATGTGTCCAGAGGAGGGCGACTAAAATGATCAAGGGTCTGAAGAACAAGCCCTATGAGGAGCGGCTTAGGGAACTGGGCATGTTTAGCCTGAAGAAGAGAAGGCTGAGAGGAGATATGATAGCCATGTATAAATATGTGAGAGGAAGCCACAGGGAGGAGGGAGCAAGCTTGTTTTCTGCTTCCTTGGAGACTAGGACGCGGAACAATGGCTTCAAACTACAAGAGAGGAGATTCCATCTGAACATTAGGAAGAACTTCCTGACTGTGAGAGCCGTTCAGCAGTGGAACTCTCTGCCCCGGAGTGTGGTGGAGGCTCCTTCTTTGGAAGCTTGTAAACAGAGGCTGGATGGCCATCTGTCAGGGGTGATTTGAATGCAATATTCCTGCTTCTTGGCAGGGGGTTGGACTGGATGGCCCATGAGGTCTCTTCCAACTCTTTGATTCTTTGATTCTATGATTCTATGAAAGAATGCTGTTTTCAGTAGGACAAACCATGGAGATACTGAGACCTGTCCCAGGTCCATCAGATGACTCTTTGATGTTGGGACTGCAGCTCCCACGAATCCTAGTTGATCTCACCTTGCACATTATGGACTGATACTGACTGCATTTTTTATATCTACAGCTACTGCTGCACTTTATTGATTTTTTTAACTAGTGGGATTTTATGGTTTTATGTGGTTTGTTATTGTTATTCTTATTGTGATATTGGTCATGCACTACTGTATTTTGTGTTTGCACTTTGAGTGCTTTTGTCAGCCGCCATGAGTCCCTCCATGGAGATGGTGGTGCGCTAGAAATAATAATAATAATAATAATAATAATAATAATAATAATAATAATAATGTGGTCTAAGTTCTTCCACATGCCTTCAAAATATCACACTTTTGCAGGTTGTATACTATTATTCATATATTTTACATTGCTGATGGTAGCAGTAATGCATTCTGTTTAAAGCTATGCAAATGTGTTCCAAATATGGCAGTAGAGAATTCAAATTATACAGAGAGATATGCTACAACTTTGAACAATGGTAGAATTGTATGCTCATAAATTATAGGCAATAGGCTGCCCGCTGCCTTCTGCTGGAGTACATGTACACTCATTTTCATTTACCTAAAAACTTAGTCCAATGATACCGTGAGAAGATTTCATTTTGAGAATATTAGATGCTTTAACATTTCTTCCCACGTTCCCACAATGGATGGAGAACAAGGATAAATTCCTTTTCCCACCAAGGAAAAAGTGCATTCATCTAGGTTTTAATAAGTTAATGCTCTTTGCTCGGCTCAGCTAAACTGCTTAATTAAAGGTCGACAGAGTACACTGCAAAATATAGCAAAGGAACATGTTTTCATTTCAACATAATGAGAATATACATTTTATTCCTTATTGAAAGATTTGGGTTGAAGATTATGTAAAACTTGATTGTGAACATGGAAACAAAGAGACTATATCCCTGTGACTCAATATATGAGAACATAACCAAAGAAGGTTAGTCAGCTCTTTCTGTCATACCTAAAAGCTTCAATGAGCCGTTCCACTTTTTGAGCTTCTCCTTGGACACGGATATGAGCTTGAAATTTCCTGAGTGCTTCATCCAGTTCCATAGCTGAGAAGTCCATTTCATCTACGACACAGCTAGGACAAAGAAAAATATACAATGAAATGTCAAAGGTTTTCATGGCCGGAATCACTGGGTTGTTGTAGGTTTTTTCAGGCTATATGGCAAATGCCTCTAGAACATGGCCATATAGCCCAAAAAAACCTACAACAATCCAATATACAATGACCTTGTCTGCACCACCTCCCCCCAGCACTAAAATATAATGCATATTACTGTATTTTGTATACCATTTAGTTAGATGAATCATAAACGTAATAAAAACAGAAAAGAAGGTGAGGAAGTAATTATAACTCTATTCAACAATTGAATAAACTGGTATAAGCAGGTCATGGCTCACATATAGCTGTTGGTATGATGAACATTGATCAGTGAGAGAGACTACTAGTTAGTTAGCAAAAATAATCATTACTTTTACAAGCCCCAGGAAGTTGTTTTTTCCCCTGCGTCCAAGCTTTTATTAGAAAAACAAAACATTAATTTGATTTAATGTTTCACTTAGCAGCGTGGAAAGCCGAGCCTGGAAGTATTTTTCTTTAATAATCTTGTAGGTGCTTTTAAAAGGCAACATGCTGCTTGTTATGTTAAGGGTAATGCATTCCAAACACCTTAATAATGAGTTACTTTTTCATTTTTAAATATGTTTTGAAACAAAAATGCATTTGCAACTAAGAAAATGGCCCCAAGTGGCCTAGATGGCCCTCAAGTGTTTTATGTTTTATAAAGTGTTTTATGATTTAAAATATCTTAGAAGTTAGAAATAAACATTCCTTGTTATACTAAGAGAGGCGTAAGCTGTTATTGTACTTCCCCATAACAAATATCATTATGTGCTTTGTTACTGGAAATAGGAATGTATTACGTCCCTGTTCTGGCAGTCGACCGAGACCAGCCTCCTCTTGCCTCTGCAGCCTGGGAAATCTGTGGCAATCAGCCATGTAGAAGGCAGTCAGGAAGGGAGACCACAGAATGAATCTTTCTATCTGGTTTGGTTTTTAGGTTTGCAAACAACTGCAGATCAATCACTGCAAAGCAGAATGGACTAATGCAGGCATCACAGCATGAATATACCTCCCATATTAAAAGCCTTTTTGTTAAATATATTGCTGTGTAGTTATACAATGAATTACCTTCTATTTCTTCTAACTGAGCTTCCCTGGACACAAGCCTTTATTTCAAATTCTGTTCCATCTCAATTTATAATTAGGGCTGGTGCCAGCATAATAATTTACAGTGGCTATGCTGGGATGAGATGGAAGAAGAAGGACCTACAAGTTTCCTGTTCAAAGTCTATTAACTAGTGTTATATGTGGATCTGTACTTATTCAGCAAACCTAATACGAGCTAGGGGTTTCTGAGAAAAGGAAGGGAAAGCTTTTGTCCTCCATCCAGAAGATCTCATCAATGTTCTTAGTTAGATTTTTTTGCATGTGTGTCAGGAACGACTTGAGAAACTGCAAGTGGCTTCTGGTGTGAGAGAATTGGCCATCTGCTAGGACGTTTCCCAGAGGACGCCCGGATGTTTTGATGTTTTATCATCCTTGTGGAAAGCTTCTCTCATGTCCCCGCATGGGGAGATGGAGCTGACAGAGGGAACTCATCTATGTTCTCCCCAGATTCGAACCTTCGACTTGTCAGTCTTCAGTCCTGCCAGTACAAGGGTTTAACCCACTGCACCACCGGGGGCTCCTAATCATTAGATGATAGGTTTCCACTAAAGCAATCCTCGTTCTTAGACAATTAACTATCACTCATATTCCTAAAGTAATTATACATATCTAACAAATGAATTCCAAAGCTTCATCTACTAAACTAGTTATCTTAGATGCAATTCTGTAGTGAAATTTGTCATCTTGACTAATATTGAATATGTAATTTTAAAAATATAAACAAACATTGTCCAGTTCTTTCATGTATTGTGTTGTATAAATAAAACTTTTTTAAAAAGCCAGTTTACTTTGTTCTGTCAACAAAACGTCCCTGTTCCCCTGCACTATATACATTTATAACACAATGTTACAGAAATAACGTGTGTATTTGTACCTCATATAGAAAATTTGTAAACTCTTAATCTTGGTTGTTTTAACTAAGTATTGGAGTGGCATATAACATTTTTGGCTGCCTTCCAATTCTTTTCTAAGTGCACTCAAACCTCACTAAATGATCTTTCAAAAACAGAAAATAGAAAATGCAATGTTATATTTATAATATCTAAAAATCAAATGAAAATGAAAAGCAGATGGTCAAAGTCAAACTTTAAATCATATATTTTGGCAACATTTCATATATAATCATATATAAAAGTATTTTTATGTGGTAGATTTTTTTGTTCAAAAATTCCTTTGATATACTTAGGCAAGATTCCAGCATAATCTTCTAATCTACAGAATTATTTTCAGAAAAACATGGCTCTTAAAGATCAATGTAATTTTTCAGGAAAGACCCATGAACTGGTCCACTTTTGTGTGAGCTGGAAGCAGACATCACACTGGCCAAGTCAGAATTTTGAATTCAACCACATTTGTGTGACTACTTTTCCCAACTAAGGGGTACTCCTAATCAAAACAAATCTTTGCATCCCAAGTAACTCCTTTAGGTATCACACAGATAACTGTATAAAGCTCAGCCAAAATTCTACTTGTACCGTAAGCAAGTATACTTTTTTAAAAACATTTGGCTGAATTCCATCAGACTCTTTTTAATAACCAGAAAGTGATAATTTTGAAAACTGTGTTAAACTCACAATACACAAGAAATCAGGATAGAAATTATAGTTAGACAAGTAACTACAATAGTAAGCAAGTATACTTCTGAATGTACTAGCAGCAAATTGTTTTTTTAAAGAGAAGCAACAACTATTCAATGTTTTCATTCACTATCCTACTTATGTGTTGTTTGCTTAACTTGTTTTTTTGTTTAATTTTTCAAATGAGAAAAGAGTAATATCTTCTTCTAAGAGGAACTGAGCAACTACTATAGTTTGACACAGTAGTATCTTCTTTTTATATGGCAGCAGAGCCTAGCATACCACCTTATACCACTTTGTTTTAAAAAAATGAATTTTATCTTACTTCAAGCAACAACAAAATACTCATAATTAATTGACAATTTCCATCTGGGTAAACCTGTCACATGTATTCCAAACAAACATATTGCTGACAAGCCATGACAAACATTCTTCTAGATTAGTGTTGCCGATTTGGGTACACACCTATAAAAGTACGGTAATGAAAAGAAATCACACTTTTCTGCTTAATTCTCTGCAATTTCTTTTAGCTCAGGCACAAAACAGAGAGTGAACTTTAGCTCCTTTTGAAGCTGCAGGACTCATGTTAAGATATTGCAATGCTTTACTTGGTACTTACTCTAATACATCTCGGTTGAACTGCTTTTGTCGATTTCCGAGGAACTCTCCAATCATCTGTCTGCTGAGCCCTTTTCTCTGTAGAAGAAAGTGGGCCACTCCAACAGGTGTATCTGGCACAAAGCCCCTCTCAATCAGGTACTGGACTCCTTTTTCAGGTTTTCTAAGGAAAAGATTACAAGTTTAAAATAAAATCCCATTTTCTCTCCCTCCTCCCAGCATGTACTGAGATTGTTTTGATTCTTGCACTGCTAAACAAAACCCTTTAGTCTCTAATGCAGATATGGGTAAATGTAAAACACAAGAGGCCATTTCCTTTTTCTGTGCCTCCCTGGCAGACCACAGCAATTTCAACATGGTTGGAATGACACAATGTCACTCCTGGCTATTATTTTGGCCATTTTTCTCTGTTTTAGAGAGCTGGGAGGGTTCAGAGGCAATTTGGGCAGTTTGTAGGCAAACATCATTCCAAGATCAATCAGATTTTTTTGAAGTGTGGGTTAGGGTTATTTTTAAGTGGGGCTTTTTTGCAGGTTGAGTTTAGGGCATCAGCCAATGAGAATAACTTCTCCCATGTTCCCACCAGATGTTCCTTTGAAGGTGGCGGGACAGAGAGATTCTCTGCCCAGCAGATCTCAAACCATTAGTAGATTTGTAAACAATCAGTGCAATGTACAATTGCACTCATCCGTAGGGTAAAATTAAACTGTCTCAAGACAGTCTAATCCCAGTTCACATTTCCTATCAGTGAGTGAACAATCAAATACTTGGTGAATTCTGTTTTACAGTGATAGGGGGACATGAGATCAAAGGATCACAACATGATGTCACTATGCACTTATGAAACTGCTATATGAACTTGAGCATCTTTATAGGTCAAAACCAGTACTTTGAATTGTGCTCCACTGAAATGCAGAAAGTGGGCTAGATTCAACAAAAAGTCTACTAAATACATTTGTTAGTCTTTAAAATACCACAAGGCTCTTTGTTTTTTGCTGCTGCAAACTAATACAGCTATGTACCTGCTTGACCCCCAGTGTCTATTCGGGACCCCATAGGTCTTGAATGGGTCAAAAACTAGGTTTTATATGGTGCCGCTTCTTCATGGGCTGCTTCTGGGTATTGTCAGTGTGGTTTAAAAAGAAGAAGACAGAAATAAAATGCATGTTCTAGTCAAATACATCCTTTCATTAGATTTACAAATGTGGGAAACTGGATAAAGCATACTTAGTTTACTATTGCAATGTTGAGATGATAATCATTCCTCAGTGGAGTGTTGCTATGTTAAGACTCAATAGGCTTTGAACTGAGTTTCTGGAAGTAAGGACCTAACCTTACATAACATATATTTCCCATGATGTTATAGCACTATTTTTCCAGCTAAGACACTGTCCTGAAAAATACCTCTAGTTGCTAATGAGAAATTCATATCCTCATGTCTTTAAGGGCAAGTGGGCAAAATCTACATGAATCCACCTCTGTTAGGGCCCTTTGTGTGACCTTCAACCATACCAGAATCTTCCAATTGATCTTTTCCTGGTCCAAAAAAAGGGAATAAATTGCCTTTTTGAAATAAACCTTTTAACTAGGTAGCATTTGAAATGCAAGTAACATTTATGAGTAACTCAGCATCACAACTGCTTTTCTGAAATCCTGCAATAAAGACCTAAATTCTCACTCAAGCCCAGTTATATCTACTGAGGTTCTGAATGTAGAGCAATCCCATGGCTATATTTCCATGCAGGGCAACAAAGGCTATCTGCAGCGATTTTTATTTACCGGTGAAGAGAAAAACTCATCTCCGGTCCCGATGGGTGGTTCTATTCTTTCTTCCAAATTACTACACACCATATTTCATGAATGAGATTACAGGGTTTATGAATTGTGCTTAACATTATGTTTAAAGTATACTTTACCAATACAAAGAGGAACATAATATTTCAAAAGTACACATTCGCAAATTCAAACATTAAATCACAAGTGAACATAAGCGGCAAATAGAAACAAGTTGTTTCAAGTAGTATTTAGATAGCCCCTTGGGTCTTGTTTATTATTAGATACCTAATACAATGGTCATTCTCCCGACTTCAATTCCCACAATTCTCACCAATGGCTATATTGATTGGAGTTACTGTTCAAACACATTGGAAAAACTGTTGCTAGCCATATCAGTTTATAACCTTGAATCTCATGTTCTATATTTTAAAATCTAAGATAATCCTTAGTAACCCTGCCACTTCTGGTGGCAACACACAATGGCAGGACAAGGGAAAAAAACTTTCCTTGCAGTGCTATGCTGTTTCTGGAATGCTTTCCTTTTTGACACTCGGCTGCAGCCAACTCTGATGCAATTCTGGTGCCGAAACAAAACATGGCTTTTTATTAAAGCCTTTGAGGCCAAACTAATTTTACTTAATTCACACATGTGCTGTGAATAGCTTTATTTCAAATTGTTTTAACTGTTTTTAAAATATTCTAAGTATAATTAATACATAGATGCATATATAGCCACCTTGAGTCACCTTTGGGTTCAAGAAAGGCGGGATAGAAATATCATAAATTAAAAAAAATATTTTAGCCTTCTAAATTATTGTTATTATTGTGTTGTCGAAGGTTTTCATGGCCGGAATCACTGTGAGTTTTCTGGGCTATATGGCCATGTTCCAGAAGCATTCTCTCCTGACGTTTTGCCCACATCTATGGCAGGCATCCTCAGAAGATGCCTCTAAAATCAGGACAATAAATAAAGAGGAACACTAAAAAAACAGGGGAATTCCAGACAGAAAACAATCAGGGTCAGGCAGGAATCAGCCAGTCTTTCAAGCTGCAAGGATATCCAATGCTAATCAAGGTGGTAAATTGCAACATTCAAACTTGCCTCCAACAGACAAGAGTTCTTTCTCCTACCCTGGACATTCCACAGATATATAAATCCCACCTGCCTAATTTCCAACAGACCTCACAACCTCTGAGGATGCCTGTCATAGACATGGGTGAAACATCAGAAGAGAATGCTTCTGGGAACATGGCCATACAGCCAGGAAAACTCACAGCAACCCAGTGATTCCTGCCATGAAAGCCTTCGACAACACATTGATAGAATTTAATAACTAATGCTGAAGTGATGTAGAAATAGTGAGAGCATACACTGATGATTGATGTATCTGCCACCATATAATGTCATAAGGCTTGTATATAGCACAGCTGTGACTGCAATTCAGTATTTTCATTCCTTTTCTCCATTTTCAAACAGATTTCTAAAAAAGCTTTCCAGTTTTGCAGATCAAGGATGCAGCCTCTTGTGGAAACAAGTGAAATCAGTTTCCAAGAACAAGGTGACCTTCCTATTTTTAGACCAATACAGTCATGCAACCACAATGTTTCCCTCATGCAGTTATTGAAAAACAACGTTACTAAATTGTTCAGTTTGCTTAGTCTGCAGTACTATAGTAGTAAAAAATTAATGCCTGATAAGTAAAAGAAATGCACATTTTCCTCGCACAAGTGAGCACAGTGAAAAATGACATTATCTCGTCTTAAAATCAACCTGCCTGGAAGCTCTCATGTAATAAAAGAATATGCTATTAATCCACCAAGGGCAAACTGAAATAATATTTTCTTTCTTCAAAACCAACATTACTTTCCCCTTAAGGCTGCAATCCTAAGCACACTCTCTAGGGAATAAAGCTGTATCAAGGCAGAATGATTTATTTCTGAATAAACATGCTTAGGATTGCACTGCAAAAGCTATGCCTCTCAATCACAATTCATAATTCTTCCTCCTGTCTGAATGCCTTGCTTCTATAACAACAACCTGTTTGTACTAGCAATGCCCAGTTCTGGAGATGCACCATGTGACACAGCTTAAGATTCAATGTGGACTTTGATTTACTCAATTGCTCATTAATTTTCCCCACTCCACTACAAAAGCAGGTAGATTAGGCTGGTTTTGGATGAAAAAATTACATTTAGAGCTTATTTGGCAAAATGCATCATTATACTTCAGTCTTAACACTGTCAACATTGTAGATCTACCATCTGTGCATCTTTAGAAAGAATGTATAAAGCTTTATTTGAACACAGTGGATTCCATTACATTTCAGCATTCTGGGGATTGACCTGGACTTGAGGATCTTGACTCCAGCTTTACACTGTCCCTCATATAATAATCCTCACCAGTTGTTTCTTGTACCGCTAAGAAATTTGTGTATACAGGATGGCCCAAAATTCACAAACAGGGTTCAATATCTAATAACTCCTTGATGTTTCTTTTTAATTTACAACACCATAGCATCATATACACTGTATACAGGAAATCATAGAGCTGGAAGAGACCACATGGACCATCCAGTTCAATCCCCTGCCAAGAAGCAGGAAAATTGCATTCAAAGCCAATAAAATTCCATTCCATTCCATGTAAAATCCTTTTCAAAAAAAAATTCAAGAAGTTATTTAAACATCAGGCACCTCTGTAAGTTTTGACCCATTCTGTATATATGTTAATTTACAAGATAAATGAAAAATATATAAATATGTCACCTGGGGTGCAGCCTGCTTTACTATTACTGCAGGGGTAAGGGGGATATTTTATAGAGGTTAGAGATGTGATGGTCTGGAATAAATATAGGAAAATTGGGAGGAATTTTCCCCTGTGCAAGTTACTTTTTACACTCTCAGTAAGATAGAAAAAATAGAACATTTTCTTTTATAAAGATGAATGAAATTGTAGTCATTTATTTATGGAATATGTTAGAAAGTGGCAAAACTACCATTGAGCATTCCTTGTGTAACAGAACATTCATGAGGTTTTGTTTTTAATAGTAACTCTTGGGTAACCAGACACTACATTTATCTGGCATCTACCGATCTCTATGGGTGCTGGTTAAATGAAAGTCTAGAAGAATGGACCCACGGACAAGAGTCGGCAAAGCACCTTGCCAGGTGAGGTTGGGGTAACACAAAACAATTTGCTGACTTGGCATGTGTTACTGAGACATGAATTACAGTTAGATGAATGAAGGCAAAGTGGATGGTAGACCTGTAAGGAAAGGGAAGGTGTTATTTCTTCAGCAGAAGGGAGTTGCCAGTTTCAGCAAGAGAAGATAAGCAGATGTGAAGAGACTTTCAGTTTTGACTAGTTCTTTGCTTCTTCCTGCAGAGTCC